CATTACAAAAGTTAGAAATCACTCCATTTACAATGGAAAAAAAGAAGCAGGTTAAACTAAAAAAAAAGTCTAATAGTCTGCACTATCACTATTACTAGCATCGTTAATGGAATCATCATTATATCTAATTTTCCCATCGTCTTCCTCTTCGCTACTCTCAATTTCAGACTTTTGAATTTCTGTTGAATCTGTTCTTTTTTGGTCCTCTAATTTGTGGCTGCCGTTTAGTTTTTTAGGTATTTTATTGTTTTGTTTGAGCCCAAAACGCATTTTTAAATGGGCTCTTTTCTGTTTTAAGAAGTGCCTTTTCTGATTTCTTTTTATACAATTGAAAAATCAAATTTTAAATGAGGCGCACGCCTCAAATTTAGAGGCAGCCTCACATTTTTAGCCTCAAAAATACCGCCTCGAGACATACTACATGCGCTTCACAGCGAGGCGGGCCTTACTACCGCCTTTTTAAACCATAAATCTCCCTCATCAGGGATGAAATCTCCTATTTTAGGGTGCAATGTCCATCACTAATTTTACTTATTGCCATCTCTTTATTCTTTATTAAAAAGAGATAAAACTAATGAAAACACTGAGTATCCAGTTAATCCAAAAAATAGAATTACATAACATTTGAAATTATCTGAGGATTATGTGTTTTAATATATAAGCATGGATTAAGAATGGATGCAATAGAGAGAGAAATTGGAATGGGGGGTGGGGAGTGAAAGAGGGAGGAAGGATATAATGCAGCATAATTCGGCAGTATAGTGTTTTTACAATGCCTTCTTGTGCCATTTCACTTCTTGTATTCATCATATATTTGATGTTTGTGCATACTGCATATGATTAATAACCTCCTTCATTAGGAACAAGGTTTTGTTTGTTTCTTCATTGTTATTTTGTTAATAACCCCTCCCCCGGGAAAGAACGAAGATTGGTTTATTATTGAATAAAAATAGCGTGGTTGTTTTTCCATTGGCTGGGTCAAGATCATGTCTTTTTTTTACTTATTTTGCATGAATGTGCACAATAATCTAATTCGTTAAGCTAGGCACAGTGAATGATTAGAAGCCATATCTTCCTCGAGGTATAATACTCAATAAATAATATAAGCTTATTTATTTTAACTTTAGATTTTCACCTTTTTGGGTTCGTTATGAAAGACTTGTGAGTTGTGAAACCATATTATGAATTGGCAGGATAGCAAATTCACTGTGTTGATTGATATTATAGTTTTCTGTACAATTCATGTCAAACCTGTATAATACTTGATGCTTTTCCAGAGCAAATTTGAGTTCCAGTTGAGACTGCAAGAGTTCATAGAGTTGGTACGAGACGAAAATAACCTGCGAGCTATAACATATGCCCAGAAGCATCTATCACCTTGGGGAGCTACACATATGAAAGAATTGCAGCGAGTAATGGCAACACTTGCTTTCAGAAGTAATACTGAATGTGCTAAATACAAGGTGAACGCATTTCAATGATTTCATTACCCCTCCGACTTAAATTTTTCTACTGTGTAATCAATTGTACAGACTGTATCTGTAATTATTACAGTGTTACTTATTTTAGCATCAATCCTTGAGAACTTAATCTTGCACATTTGTTTGTTGTTGAAGAATTGCTTGCAGGCACAACAATACTGGTTTTTGTTTGTAGTAGTCTTTTCAAGAGATTGATTGTGTTTCCATCCAAAAGCTACATGATGTAATTGTGAAAGCAATTTATGTCAAGCGTCAATGGCGAGAATAATTTGCATGGTTTTATGTAGAAAATGGTTAGACTGATGGGATATTTTCAAAAGGATAATTTAGTACTATACCTGATATATAATTGGTTGATGAAATTTATGATGCAACCTGATATCTTCAAATTCTCTGAATAGTTGAGATTCTGTTGAGCAATTCCTACAGTGCAATTGACTGAGACCAATGTTTTGAATTAATACTAATAATATGTGTCTCCATTCCCCTGTTGGAACTGAGGTACCAAAAGGATATGCCGATCTTCGTGTTTAGCTGATCTTCGTGATTATCTTCTTTCAGGTTTTATTTGAAGAAAAGCAATGGGATTACCTAGTCGACCAATTTAAGCAAGAGTTTTGCAGATTGTATGGAATGACTCTTGAGCCTTTGTTGAACATATATCTGCAAGCGGGCTTGTCAGCTCTAAAAACTCCGTATCCATACTTTGTGATTCTTAGTCTTATACCCATATGCTACTAGATTTTCAAGTATTCCTATACTAAAATATCAGGAAATTTGGTTATTATGATGGCTTCTGCTATTTTTGTCAAATATTCAGTTTTCAAAATTATGAGGATTCAAATTAGCGAAGTGAATTCAATCTTTTACTACTACTAGAGCTGGCAGAAGTCTTGTACACCAATTTTATCTCCCTTTTTTTTTCCTTTCATTTTCTTTATCTTTTTACATGAAGAGCATATTTGTCTAAGCTTAAAAAGTATACTTATGAATACGTTTTAATTGTAATAATTTTTTATTGGTCAAAGTTGGATAATAAGGTAAGATTTACTTGCAAAATAAGTAACCACTTTTTCTTTTCAAAAAAACTTAAAACAAGGAAAGAACAAATTATCTAATAGTGTCTGTGTCTAAGCTTAAAAGATAAACACGCTCTAAGTGTGAAACAAAATTAACTTTTACTTTAATTTTAAGATTGGCCAAACATCATGTTGCTCTCTTCTGAATTATGTGCAAAATGGTTCCATGTGTTTGATCGAGTAATTTCCATGTCCGTCTTTGTCCAATCCTTTACCTTGACATGATACAGATTTTGTTTCGAAGATGATTGCACAAAGGAGGATCCTCTGTCACAGGAGAGCTTCCGCAAATTAGCGCAGCCACTACCATATTCAAAGCAGCATCATTCGAAACTTGTTTGTTACATAAGTAAAGAACTAATGGATACCGAGAATCCACCACTCGTCTTGCCCAATGGCTACGTCTACAGCACCAAGGTCTTCACTGTTCCGAATGCTAGGTCTTGTGTGAGCATGTTTGTATACTAAATGTGGTTCTATATGCAGGCTCTCGAAGACATGGCAAGGAAAAATAATGGTAAAATCACGTGCCCACGAACTGGTCTGGTTTGCAACTTTACGGACGTTATCAAAGCGTATATCTCTTAACTCTGTGATCGGCTGCTGATAGTCTGATTTTCGCCTGGTTGCCAACTGGTTTGCTGATTACATGTGTAGAATTGCTATGGCCTTTGGATAATTTTCAAGCCAGGACCTGGTACCCAACATGTATATAAGCATAACATTACATCTGGATTGATTGTTATTTTAGCTAAAAACTAATAATCATTCAAATTGAAAGTGTTGATTCTCCATTTGCTAACTGTGAAAATCCATGGGAAAAGTGAAAGGTGAAGTGGATAAGAAACTGTGTTAGGATTTAGGTATTCCTTGCTCGTACATTCGGTAGGTATTTCGATGAAAAATTGAGTAAACATGAATCTTTCTTGCCTTTTTCACTAATTCTCTCTGTTTCTCTCTCGTACGATCTTAAGACCAAATCTTAGGCTAACCAAACGTTTCAAATCTTAACCATTTAGGTGTATCTAGACTCGAATACTTTAGAACTGCCTATCGCGTCTCATTTCTCTCCCGTTCTCTTACCAATTTTAGGTATTATTGAAATGGTGATCACATGACTATATTTTTTTCAAAAATAAGGAAAACATTCTCTTTAGGGATGAATGATTTTTAGTTTTCAAGTGAATACTATCTCTCATCTATCCACTAATAAAAAATAGATAAGTATAATATTTTCTTGGTTGAGAACTATATCAATCAAACGCATTTAACTAATAATTTTCATACAAATAAGTCCATGTTCACAATCAAAAACACTCTAAATGACGCACATCATTTATTTAAATGAAGTTGTACTTACTTTAGATTAGTAATGGTCACATGTGAGATTGCAATGTCATCTAGTATGATTAATGAAATTCGATAAAGTTACATTAAGGGTCCGTTTGATTGCAAATGTGAAAAATTGGTGGAAAGAAAATGAATTCAAGTGAATTGAATTGCCTAGAAATTGTTTTACTGGAAATTGTAATTAATTGTGTTTGATTGGTATAATTTTCCACCTGAAAAATGTTGAAACTTTAGTGTTCGTTTGCCTTTATTTTTCATGAAAATTGTCCATTAAAGTGATAATTTTTTCTACAATTGGGTCTAAAATAAATAGTAATATGATGGGAAATGTGTGGTTGAAAAAGAATAAAAAATTATTGATGTGATGGAAAATATTATTTTATTGAAGAATGTGTGGTTGAAAATGAGAATTGATTTACTGTAAAAAATGAGAATCCCTACCAAACAGGCCCTTAGTAAAAAAATATACATCTATTTTCAAGACATAACAAATCTTCAATTTTTGATGAGCATCAGGTTTCGGAATATTGCTCAAAGATCAACTGTTAAGGTCGACTAGAAAATATTTCTCAAAGCTTGATGAGTAAATCTTGCTAGAAATTGAAACTTGAGATTCTTGATATATTTAAAATATTTTTTTAATACCAAGATCCTCCATGTTAAATCACTAAGAGAAATAAAAGTGCTGAATGTCCCTTGTTTCATTGGTAATGAAGAACGAAGATTTTATTGCTTGTGAGTTCTTGATCTTCTTCTTTAATACGATTTCTCTTTGTATTCTCTTGATGATGGGATGACAGATAGAATGAGAAATTATATATGAATTGAAGACCACAATCCCATTAGATATATATTTCGGTTCATCATGTAAAACAACCCAAAATAATTTAGTCACTACACATAATTAGACTCATACTATATTAGATGTCCAAATCCCAATAACTTTAATTCTTTATTAAATCACTTTAAATTTAATTAACCTTAAGATAATCTTTAATACATAATTAATTATATATGTAGGCCCACATGACAAATAAAAATTCAATAATCTTCCACTTGGGTCATATATGTTACCTTATAAATATTCATAATCATATGATGTCAAAACATTACTATCATAACAAAAAATATCTTCGAACAATCTCGTCCATTGATTAAGTCAATATAGAATCAGAGTAGTCTTTGTTACATATATCATAACTAAATTCACCAATGAATCACATATATCAACATAATTAAGTGACGTAGATCAAGTATAGATGTGTATCACTAAAATTACATGCAATGTGATCAAAATATGTTTATTTCTAGCTGGTCCTACCTTATTCTTTGATATCAAACCAAAACTTAATCAGAGTGAAAATAACTGAATACTTTATTTTGAAAATAAACTGAATATCCATAAACATAAAAATGTGTCTAAATCAGACAATATCGAACCACAAACTCTCGCTAAACTAGTATATCATCTAAAGATGCAAACCCATGTAAGTAGTGTGTTCATAAATGACCTTAGATGATAGTCTTTTAGTAAATGGATCTACTATCATAGAGTTTGTGCCAATATGTTCTATAGTAACCTGACTACTATGAACTCTTTGATTTACAACTAGGAATTTGATATCTATAAATTTATATTTCGTCGAGCACCCATTGTTTTTGGATTAGAACACGGTTGACTTATTGTCAGAAAATAACTTGAGTAGTCTTTTAATTCCATCCAAAATGTCATCCCTGTGACAAAATTTCGGAGCCATATTTCATGACATAATGCCTCATAGTATGCTATAAACTCCGCTGTCATGATTGAAGAAGCTACGAGTGTCTGTGGCACTATTCCAGGATAGCTCCTCCAGCTAGCAGGGTAGACATAGCCCGATGTGGATCTCTGACGGTCTCGGCATCTAGTAAAATCAGAACCAGAATACCTAATGATTTCCAATTGGTTTGATTTTTTATGTGATCATGTAATCATTTCTTCTCTGTAAATACCTCGTACACTATTTTACTGTCTTCCAAATATCCATCATAGGGTTACTTAAATTTTTGTCTAGCATTCCAACAATGAATGCTATATCCGGACCTATACAAATTTGAGTATACATTAAACTTCTAACTACGACACATATGAAATTTTCTGTATTTCTTTCTCTTCAAGGTCGTGTACTGATTGAGACTAAACTTGTCTCTCTTAACAACAGTGATATCACATAGTTTACAATCTTGCATGTCAAACCTCTTAAAAACCTTATTGATATAACTCTTTTGTGATAATCCAAAAATACCCCGAAAATGATTCATGTGTATCTATATCCCTAATAAAAAGAAGGTGTCATCAAGATTTTTCATTTCAAAATTATTTGATAGAAATCTCTTGGTTTTGTACAATAAGCATATATCATTGCAGGCAAGCAGTATGTCATTGACATACAATACTAGGAAAATATGCTTACTTTCACTAAACCTGTGGTATACACAACTATCAACTACAATCATCTCAAAATCAAACGAGAGACTTAATGAAATTTGTGATACCATTGACGATAAAAATACTTATGCCAATAGATGAATTTCTTTAAGGGTCCATTTGATTGCAAAGGTGGAAAATTGATGGAAAGAAAATATTTTACAGGGAATTGAATTGCCTAGAAATTGTTTTTCCAGGAATTGTAATTAATTGAGTTTGATTTGTATAATTTTTCACTTGGAAAATGTTGAAAGTTTGGTGTCCGTTTGGCTTTGTTTTTCATGAAAATTGTCAATTAAAGTGATATTTTTTCTATCATTGGGTCTAGAATTTATATTAATTACCAAAAAGTAAAAAAAAAAAAAAACTCTGAAATTGTTTTTACCATACAGAATATCATTTGTTTGACTTTGTTTTACATGAAAATTATTAATAAAAGTGAGAAATTTTTTTACCATTGTATTTAGATTTTTCTTTTCAATTGTCAAAAAATAAAAATAAAAAACCAACCCAACCATAAGAAAACAAATTTCTTACACGCATGGAATAGAGGCGCGTGGCTGGAGAGGCATGAAAATCAATTCTAGGGAAAATGGAACCCATCAAACACCACAAAAAGTTGGAAGTAGAATAACTTTTCCATTTTCTAGGGAAAAAAGCTCCTGTCAAACACTGCCTAATTGAAAGAGTAATACTATTTATCACAACTTATGTTAAGCAACGATCTAAGTGACAATTAAGTAGTTATATGATTGAAATTATATTAAGGTATAATTATTCGACTGAACAAAATTAAAATATAGTTACGTAATTGATATTGTGGAGAACATGAATGAAATTTATCCCAAAATAGATGGTCATGCTCCCGCACATTGATGATTTTTTTAGAATAAATTTTGTGAAAAGTGATTTTTAGGAAAAAAATGCTATATATCTACGTGTAAAATTATTTTATTGAAAGAATGTATTATTTAAAATGAAATTATGAAAATAAATTTTAAGGAATCAGTACGAAACAGACCCCTAACAGGGTAGGGATCTGGGTGCCACAAATTGAAAGCGTGGACCCTGTTGTCAAAAGATTGAAAGTTTGTGATCCTATTGTAAACATGTTTCAAAGGTTCAGGACCTATCTGGAAATTGTCCCTATTCAGAAATTTTATGGGTTTTTCCCTTTTCTTTCTCACCTTTCCCCTTTACTGCAGTTTAGAGTTTCGCTTTTCCCATATCTCATCTTAAAATCAAAACCCTAATCTATAACCCAGGGGAGAATCTCTCCAGTGCGACTGAGCTATACCTGGTTGTCAATTTCTCTCCAAATCCGGCCAAGGATTTTGATTTCTTTCTTCTCCGACTTATTGTATTTTCAATCGATCAGGTTAAAACACCAAATGTATCTATTTAATATATCATGCTACATGAACTTTTATATGGGTAAACATCATTTTTTTTTTTGGGTAATTCATGATTTAAGATGTTTCTGCAGGCTTGGACTCTAATTCTTCATTTAATGAAAAAATACCATCATGTCCTTCTCTTTTTAATTTTCGGGAAAGAGTTCAACATTGTTGTAACTGTAAAACTCGTCAATAAAACTGAAGTCTCTATCGTTGTGGATTTTCAATACGCAGACTTGTAGTCGTTGTTGAAATATTCGAGACACCATCCCATCTTATGATCAGATAGCTTTTGAATTCGAAAGTGACAAATGGGTAGCCACGAGGCATTGAGCGTTGATCCATTTAAACGGTACTTTATTAAACAGCTATGTGATTGAAGCTTTCCTTTGATTTTCATTTTGGCACATTTGTTTCTAAGTTGTCTTGTATATTTCATTGTTAATTGGAATTTTATTTTTTCGTTTCTGAAAAATAAACAAAAAGATTGGTCAAACTTGCGGGAAGGGCATTTTATGACGATATAACTACAAAAGGTGATAAACAGCCCAAGACTGGAAGAAGTGACAATAGAGGAATTGCAGTCGTTGTTCTTGATGCTCTCACTAGGTAATTATCGTTTCTCAAAACTTCTTTGACAGTACTATTATCAATTAAAATTTTGATGTAATATGTATTTCCCCTATAATTTAGTTTTCCACTATTTGCAGGACACTTGGATGACACAATATTAACTTTCGAATGTCTTTTTCTGATCTGATGATAGAAGGGATCTCTATATGTTGTGTTATATTATGAATGTATGTTGTATGTACAACAATAACAGATTAAACTTATTTCAAATAAACTTGGGATGGGCTGCACTAATACCTTTTTGCCACTCACTCTGCATGCATGGATAGATATGTTATTTATTTGAAGTGTCTCTATATGCTGAGAGATCAATGGAGAGATTGTTAATTCCCAGGCTAGTTACAGTCGAATTACTTCATTCTGGTTATCTATCTTATTTTTGGCTCTTTATGTATGGGTGGCATGTGTGGAACATGTGTTATTTATCTATTATAACCCATAAAGCTCTAAATTATGTTCTATTTTAGACGTCAGTGGGTAAGAGAAGAAGATTTGGCTAAGGACTTGAAGCTACACTCAAAGCAACTTCGTCGCACTTTGAGATTCTTTGAAGAAGAAAAACTGGTCACTAGGGATCACAGGAAGGAGGTCTGTTTTGAGGGTTCAATGATAAGGCCCAAATCCCTTTGTCCCCCTTTCAATCTATTACTGGGCTCTAGCTTGGTTTTTGTTTTTGTTTATCCTTAACTATCTTCTAGTGTCTGCTAAATCTATTTAGCCCCTGTTTGGTTTGAATTAAAATCAAATTAAAATCTCGAGTCAAAAGTCAACAATTAATTTTAATCACAAATTTCATCAACTTTTATCAAAATCTACTAAAATCTAATTTAACCTACACCAATCAGGGGCTTATAAACTTTTGATGATTTTCTAAGTTATTTTGCATTGTATTAGCATTTAGAAATTGTATTTTGTAACAACCATCTGTTTTTTGGGTTTTCAACGTGTCATGTTGTTTGGTAGACTTGATCTTTTGTTTTAACCTTAAGGCCGCATGAAATTATGCATGGAGAGTCCAAACTTGCATTTGTATTCCAACACAACCTAAAGGGTAAGCACTAGAGGTCACCCAACTTTGAGCAAAAACTCGTTAAAAACTCATTTGAGTCAGTGGACCAATTTTTTTTTGTTCCAAACTCGCTTCAATTTGGTTACTGATGATAATTTTGCAACAAAATTTAGCGGCCTTTTCTCTTTGGTAAATGACTTTCTTTCGTATGCTGTGAAGATGTTAATAAGGGCTCATTAGTTGCCCATTTGTGCTATAATCACGTGTTTTGGCTTGTAAAAGTTGCACTCACATACCATGCTATATTGCATTTTAAAAGCATAAATTTTATATTAAAACTGCAAGTTTGCATCGCTTTTCAACCAATGTTGCAAACTAATGACACGGGTAACCCACACAAGAAAATCCATCTGCCATGTAGAAAAGAAATGTAATCTTGTGATGGAATCTTTATTGGTGACCAAATTGAAATGAAGTTGAAACTTCAGTGATGAGTTTGGAACAAAAAAGTTTTGAGTGACTAAATGAACTTTGCTCAAAGTTGGGTTACCTCCATTCTTTCTCCCTAACCTTAATGATGTTTGGCAGTCCAGTTCAGATATGTTACTATTTGAGCCATGCAAACGTGGAATATCGCATTCCAAAATCGAACTTGGATCTACTTTTGTTGCAAACCTGAACAGTCATTCCTTATTTATGTTATATGTTACCCCACATTTTAGGTATGCTTTCAGGTTTAATTTATGTGCTAGCTGCACTTGCTACCGTTGAACAATTACAGCATGCTATTAAATATTTTCTAAGGTATAATTAGAAGTGAAGGATTTAATGTAAAAATTTCGCATTAAGTATCTTCACATTCATTTCTTAGAAAAACCCAAAATTGATTCTTAAAACGCCAGTTGTCTAGATTCAGTAGTTTCAAAATCAATTTCTCTTGACATACTACCAAGTTTTCACTTCGTTTTCTCAAAGCTAGTCAATTTTATTTGCAAATTTAATGGTTCGATGGCGATCGTTCTTAGTTGTGTTCTGCTTTGAAGTATGTCTTGCTCTGTAGTTAGCTTTAGCCATTTGTTGTCTGTTATGTTGTTTCTGATATTGCCTAATTGATATTGTTGTAGACTGCAAAAGGTGCTAAAATATACAGTGCTGCTGTAGCTGCCACGGGAGATGGTCAACCAGGTGGAAGAGAAGGAGATGAAAAACTTAAGTTGCATACTCATTCATATTGTTGCCTAGATTATGCACAGGTTTGTAGCTCTGCTCTCTCCTCCTGCTGGCTGTAACAAAAGAAATATATCCCTGGTTCAAAGGAACGAGTTGAGCAAACCAAAATCCAATTCAACCTCAATTTCTAATTAACCCATGAATGGCAGGTTACTGTTAATAAGCTGAAATACTGCCATCTGGATAGTGTTTACATAATTGAAATAAGTTAATTCAGTGCTTTAGAAAAGAAATAAATTGCTGACATTTGCTTTATGGAGACGCGAAGCTAGGACCCAAGAGTTTCTTTGCTACTAAGTTATTCCTGAATCTTGACGAATTCTCAGCAATTAGGAGCCTTATCAAGCACCAGTATAGCTCCTCAAGTCCACTTTATGTTATTAATTTGAATGATTAAAGATAAAAATAAAAACTAAAATAAAAGAAGAAACGAGAGAATAAAGCTGAAGGAATCATCAGGAGAAATAAAGATTAAAAACACCAAGAGAGTGGGAGATAGGAGAGTGGAAAGAAAGGTGGAAGACAGGAGACCTGAGAAATGAATGGCGTAGGAGATGGAAGACAGAAAAAGATTAATTGGCTATTAAGTAATGGCTGCCAAGGTTCAAAATGCTCTTTTGACGTAATATTTGACTGTTGTGCATTTTCCAACACTTGCAATCTCGCTTCAATTTGGATAGCAACACGGTGCAACAATAGATGAAATCTGGGCCCTGGGGGCTGGAGGGCATAAATAAGACACAATTGCTTCCCGTGTTAAAGCATCCATCTCAAATCATTTTGCATTGAGTGTGGTAGAGTAGTTTCCTTGATTCATGTACTAGTCTGAAAGTTTGATATTTTATTGATGTTTTGAGCTCTTATCAACTGAAATCCTTAATTTGTGTCACATTGGAAAAATCAGTTGCATTACTGTTCCTTCTGGTGAAATTTTTTCCATGTTAGTTGGCTTAATGTGGCATACTGTTTACATTTCATGAAATAGGTTGGGTATTGAATGTGATATGTTAATTTCTGTTCTCAGGTTTTGAATAGTTCATTCTTATTTAGTTATCATTATCTACGACTCTTGACAATTTGCGTACTGTCGATATTGCTTGAAAGTTGTTAGATGAATCTAGATTCACTGTCACTCTATGAATGAAATTTGAAAGTAAAGAAACTGTTTGCAGATATATGATGTGGTAAGGTACAGATTACACCGCATGAAGAAAAAGCTAAAGGATGAACTAGAAAGCAAGAACACCGTTCAGGAGTACATATGCCCCAATTGCAGTAAAAGGTATCTGTTTCTGCTACTGGCGTGTCTTCTCTTTGAGTCCTCTTTTTGTTTATTTCATAATTGATTGGAAACGGAAGTCCAGATACACTGCGCTGGATGCGCTCCGGTTGATTTCCCCGCACGATGAATACTTCCACTGTGAGAGTTGCGATGGGGTACTTGTGGCTGAAGCTGACAAACTAGCTGCCCAAGAACTGGGAGATGGAGATGACAATGCTAGGAGACGGCGCCATGAAAAGTTGAAGGATATGCTACAAACAATGGAGGTTTGTCCTCTTTTGAGTTCATATTTGTTCCTGGTTTGGTACGTTTCAACCATCTTTGCTTATACACTGAAAGGGAGATTGCTCTGCCTTAATTTTTATTGTCTAGATCAAAATTATGAGTTTTATTTTTCTCGATTTTTTTTTGTGTGGTGTGGGCTTTGGTGTTTATTTAAATTATAGTAGTATGAGAAAGAGCATTGAGTGGAAACCAAGAAGCGAGTGAGAAGCAAGTTTTTAGATCTTCTAGGTATTTGTTTTACCTAGAAATACACACATGTATAAGTACAACTAAGAGGCGTCCTATTTAAACTCTTGGGGCCATGAATTTTTGTTAATCTGATATTTTCATTGTTTCAAAGAGATAACAGTCCTGGCCTTCTTTTGGTGTATTTTGATAATTTTTGTTGGTAGACCATCTACATCCTCTGGAAAATATATCACAGATTTGTGTTTGGTTTCCTAGCGTTGAGGAGTTTAGGGAAGGAATCTTTTTCCCAGCCAGCCATGTAAAGTTTGGGGATTGCATTGCTGGCCAATTTTTATGGTCATTCTCATCAAAATTGTTCATATATACTATTTTATGGTCTTTTTAGTTTCTTACCCAGAGGAAGATGGGAGATAAAATAAAATCGGGATGAAATGGGCTTTTCTGACCGTTTCATTGAGTGAAAATCTTAAGAGATTTATCAAAAGAATTTTTCTAGTTACTAAAATTTATTGAATACCTGAATAGAACTATTCTCTTCTGCTAGGCAATTTTTTTCTTCATCAAGAACTCTATGTTTTGCGATGATTTTGTTTTTCTTCGCCTCATTTTCATTTGGAATAATTGCTGCCACAGTTTCAAACCTTTCAAATCTTTGCAACTTTTGTCCTAACCTTTCATTTATTGTACCTGTGGTCCCAAACCTTTCAAGTGTGCGCCTGGGGAGGACAAATAGATGGATTCCGTCTAAATCGTTATGAGTTGATTAGGAAAGTTGAATTTAATCACATCTTGACGAAATTTAAAATGGTAAAATGGTAACTTTACAATTTTTCACATAAAAAATAAAAAACCAACTGAAAAATAGAAAATAAATTAAAGAAGAATACTTCACCTTCCTCCTTACGTCACCGTATCCCCACCAACCCACCCCAATCCACCACAACCAAAATCCAACCCACCTATCACCACCACAAACTGTTGCCACCACCCAATCCCTCTACCCCTCCTTCCTAAACAATTGTCTTAAAAAACCAAAAACAAACAACTGAATGCTCTTAGTAAAACAGAAAATTTTCTTTTGAAACCAAACCAAAAGACATTATTTCATCATTTCGTCATCAATATTTTGGAGCTGAAAACACATATATGCTATCAGACTGCACTAAATATTTATCTCTGCACCAATGTTTTTCAAAAAATCAGCTGGACCATGAAAGCACAACTATCATGGAGAACTCAAAACAGATTGATAGTAGTAGAAAAAATTAGTAAAATCTGAAACCCATAGCCCATAATACATAGGTGAAGGAGAAGTGGCAAGAAAAATCCAGGGCTTGCTGAAGGCGGTGGTTTACAGGCAGAGGATTGTAGAACTCGTAGGAAATTAGAGCTAAAGAAAGTGGGAACGCTTTTCTTGTTGGAGAATTCTATAATAAAATTTCGTGCTTAGTTAGCACTATAAGTATGTGAATTGGATGGTAATTGTATATGAATATTTGATTGGCTTGCTTTTGAGGCAAATGGCTCTGTGCCATGGATGTGTAATTATTTTGTCGTCTATGTACTGGAGGTGAAAGCGTAGGAAACGCTTTTCTTGTGGTAATTTTTCAAGCCCTATTTGGATTAGGATGTGTTATAAGTAATAAATGCCCTTTTTGGTGGCGGTGGCAGCGTGTGGTGGGTGGGGCAGGGTAAGGTTGCGGAAAGAGAATTATTTTTGTTTTTTTTTCGCCTTTTTTGGTTTTTATTTAATTATTTTATGTGGAAAATTGATAGATTATCATTTTGATCTTTTAAATTTGGTCAAGATGTGGACATGGTCAATTTTTCTAGTCAACTGATGGCGATTTGGACGGAATTCATCCATTTGCCGTCCAGTTGCACACACTTGAATTAAAAGGTTTGGGACCAATGATGCAATAAATGAAAGATTAGGGAAAAACTATAAAGATTTGAAAGGTTTGGGACCGTGATTGCAGTTATCGTTTTTCATTTTATAAAAACAAAATGGTCGCAATCATTTTTACTTAGATCCAAGTCAATCTTCAGTAGCCTACAAGGTGGAGGATGATAAATTTCCTAGTTACAACAATTGTGAGCATAACTCTTTTGCAAAAAGAGCAACGTGACTCGTCACACTGGAGGCACATAACACGAACATCGAGCAATAAAACCTTGTAGTTTATTAAAAGGGAGTCATTAGTTAATCTTTTTCAAGATTGAAAGTCGTTCAAATCTCGCTACACCTTGGGTTTTCTTTTGTGAAACCTCCCAAAAAGCGAGTATGGACAAAGTGCGTTCGAGAAACAAATGCGAACTTAAAGAGCATTTGATTGGAACGGCCTAGTTTTCAGATGATAGAACTCAAAGGTAGTTTGTGAAGAATTTGGGATCGAACAAGATGAGAAAATGGTTGCAACACTATTATATATCAATATTATTAAGAATTCACAATTTAAAATTTTGGAAAAGGGGTAATCTCTTTTTGGATACATTGGAAATTTTCTCCTACCCACAAGCTAAGGGAATGACAACTAGGTGGCCGATACATCTTGTGTGGACCAAAATAACTTCTGATCCACAAGAACAATGCAATGTAAAAGCCTAAAAGAACATTTTATAAGAGGGAGATGTAGACCCAAATTAACATGGCTTAGCAGTATGCAAATTGCAATGTCTTATACCTTGTGAAGATAATGTATGCCAACAAATGAAGACCGTGTTGGAGTAAATTTATGCATGTAGCTTGGTCATATCAAATCAGTTGAACTGGTGCTCTATTATGAAGATGGAGTGTAGGTTAGCACCTGAATGTCCTTTTGATGATAAAGTGAGGATAGTTCATCCTGTGAGAGGATGAACAAATGGGAACGATGGAATGGCTAGTCTATTTACAATGAGCGGAATTCTCGGTTTCATGCTCTAGTTTTTCAATAGTGCGCATGTGATAATGACCTAGTGTAGCCAAATGGATTCGGGAGATTCCTTCTTGCTTATTACATCTGCTATTCTGAACTAGTCACGAATGCTGTTGTCGTAAACTATCTTAGACACGACCAGCTTCTTTAGACATTACTAATATGAACATCCGTTTGCGGTAATTCGTTCACTAAGTTGGACAAATTTTCAATTGATAGTTGAAAACCATTTCAATCTCCTCTATTTTTTCAAATGCATTGTCTGGATTTTGTGTCTTCCATGCCTTTTTCCTTGAATCACATTTTTACAGGAACAACTGAAACCATTGATGGATCAACTTGGAAGAGTGAAGGACTTGACTGTACCTGAATTTGGAAGCCTTCAAGCTTGGGAACTTCAGAATGCTGCTGGTCGAGCAGCAAATGGAGACCATGAGAATGATCCTTCTCAATCTTCACAGGGGTTTGGATTTGGTGGAACACCTATGCCCTATATTGGAGAGACAAAGGTGACTAGCTCATCAGCCTTCTCCCCTTTTGCTTAAAAGATTACTAATTTTTTATATTATTCTTGTTTTTTTTTTTTACACTTACTTAGGCTAAGTGGGGGAATCGAAAATGGAGCATGGGTTACATATTTTGATGTCCGTGTCAGGCCCACTAATCATAATATCTAATTAAAGAAAGTCTAATAGAAACACACAAAATAACTTCCTTATAACCTAGAGGCATGGAGACATATAACCCATATTTCCCAAACTATGTTAGTTTTACAATGAAAGTAACTTTTTGATCATAAATAACTCTAGAATGTATGTGAACTTCAACATGACAACAATAGTTTACAACATTATAAGTTAGTATACAACTCAAAATGTGATTCTCAAACCATAACTGTTAGCTTCCAAATCGTAGCCTCAACAGGTTTACTTTAATGTATCCAGAGCTTCAAACCTTAGGAATTCTTGACAATCGACCATGAGACTATGGAATAACTGATCTTCGATGCTCAAAATGCAAAGCTAAAGGCTCCATAGGTAAAGACATTGCACAGGAAATGAATATGAATTTGACTATCGTAGAGTACATATCACGGGATCATAAAAAAAATAAAAAATTCATCCTTTTATGGAAGATAATATAAGCATCAATATGGTTGAAATCTTTGTCTTGGCATCATTTTCTTGCTCCTCTTCACCATTGCTATGCTTATGCATAGCCATAACTATTATAATGGCCAACATCATTACATAACATGTTGTACCCAAGATTGCCTTTGGTCATCTTGCTTCCTCATCTCTCGTGATATCCCTGAGAAGTTATCCCTCACCTTACCGTTCTAATATATTGAACGTCAATTATGCCGTCAGAATCATAGCAAAAGGGTGAAAATCATTTCTCATAGAACTCATGTTTTGTTGTTCGAAACATCATTGTACATGCTAGGATTTTTCATGTGCAATTACATTAGATTGTAATTGAATAAGTACTATAGCTGGTTTTCTATTGAAAGTTTAGGGCACCAGACATTCGCCTAAGAATATCATTGGTTACTGTCAAATTTTGGGTGAGGGAAGGAGTTTGTGCTTCTTTATTGTCTAATCATGTATTTCTTGTAAAGTAGTTTTTTAGGGCACCAGTCTTTGAATTTTGATATGCATACTCAATCACCATAATGTATTTAAATACATGAATATGTCAAAGCAAGCTTGCTATGTTAAATTTGGATTTTCCTGCAAAAGTCCAAGAGAAATATGTTTCTGACGTGTCTGAATTCTTTTAGTCTGATTATGTCATGTCTTGAGGTTTAGGAGAGTCTTATTGGTACTATTATTGGGTTAAAATCACAAAGCAATAACTTGAAGCATGGAAGTTTTTTTGGATGCTAAAAAAATGAATAATAATAATTAGCTGAAAGGTATTATGCTTGAGCCTGAGGTTTGGATGGAATTATTATCACTGCCATATATTTTTCACCTTTTCTAATCTATGGATGGTTTAAATAGCCACGTCGTTTTCATAACCCTAAGCGCTTGATTTGTTTTCTTTTGAAATAAGGATGACGTGGATTTGTATTACACTTTTTTAAATTGTTCTTGGCAGTTTCTCATTAGATGACTACTAATAGTTATGATAGAAGCATTTTATCATACTAGTCAGAGTTGAATGTGCGTTGCACGTTATTCTAAAATATTTTATAATTGTTGTAAAAGTAATATTCGACCACTCATTTACCATTTTGGTCTAAATATGAGAAAGATGCAAGTCGCTGAAAATAAATGTTAATTATTATACATGCACGTAAATAGTGATATGCATACTTGAATGTGAGTATTAGAATTACAACTAAATGCATAAATGAAGATAAATGACAAATACGATCCATGAATTAACATGAATGTTAATTAATTTAGAATTAATACCAAAAAATATATACATGACAATAAACGTTAAATCATTTATACTAAATGATAAAATGAATATAATTTAATTTCCAATTAAGTGAATCTAGATGTTAATTAATGTACATGAACGTGAATAATGAACTGCTTTCTTGAATGTGAAATTCTAATTAATATTAATTAAATGAATGTGAATGTTAATTAATTGAGAATTAATAACAGGAGCATGGACGTGAATGTAAATGTAAATGTGAAATTCTAATTAATATTAATTAAATGAATGTGAGTGTTAATTAATTAAGAATTAATAATAGGGAATACATCGTGAGCAAGGATTTTGTAGTATTTATTAAAGTTTATGAATTAAATATATATTGACAAACGAAAAGTATTATATTATTGAAATAATTGAATTGTAGTAGGGTTATAATCGTCTAAAAAAATGATTTCCACTTGACGTGATATTTAATATATTATAGATATGTGATTATAAGAAACTATTATTGACATGAAAGAAATTCAGATGGTGAACACCCGAAACTTGTTTTGGCAGGTTGAAGTTGCTTTCTCCGGTATTGATGGAAAAGGAGATAACATTAAATCGGAGAATGGAAATACACCTATGAAAGTTTTGCCTCCTTGGATGATAAGGAAAGGAATGAAACTTACAGATGAGCAGCGTGGAGAGACCCAGCAAGAGGCAAAGATGGCTGGTGGTTCAACAGCTGTAGAATCATCCGATGATAAAAAGCCTACAGATGAAAAGGATGATGTGAAGAATATACAGGTATGTATGTTTAGATTTACAAACTTGTTATTTTTCTTTTCCTCTCAGTTTTCTTATATACTTCATATATAACGTTCCATGTACGCCATCATCAATTCCTACTCTTCTTCGTAACCTTATATTCTCTATTTCGATAAATTAAAAAATAAGTAAAGATTTTTATGATTATAATGTTCTCGAAATCTTATTTGAGATTTTCTGTATGTTGTAGGATGAATATGTTAAAGCTTATTATGCTGCTTTACTTATGCGGCAACATGAACAAGAAGCACATGATGACAACCAACAACAAATGTCGAATGCAACCACCTCTAATGGGGTTGCCATCCTCAATGAGCGCGAAGTGGGAATGAAGTCGAAGCGCGGGGACGAGTATGACGGAGATGATGTTGAATGGGATGAGGAACCTCCTGCAGGTATTATCAACATGCATTTAACTTTATTTTTTAGCGGTCCATAACGTCCGTTGGGAATAATTATTTTGCCTTCAAGGTTCCTATTTTGACTTATTTTACACATTTTTTGGACTTTGAAGCTGTCGGTGACAAGAATGCTTTGACACACAAAACATGATATGACACACAAAACATGATAAAACTAGATACAAGTCTCTAAAATTCAAGTTTTTAAAATATCTCACTGTCTAGCTGGTGTAGATATCCCCGTTGTGTCGTATCTGAAATTAAATAAAACACTTGTTGCAGTGAGGCAAAATATTATTAGTAATTTTGCGTTATGTGATTCACCATACTGGATTTTTACAAAATAATCCTCCATGTGCATGAAGTTTGACTTGCTCATTTTGGTGACAACAAATATGAAAGTCCTGTATAATAATATGCATGCGGCATGGAAGAAATTTTGTATTATGTTCTTTATTCTACAACTTGTTTCATTGCTTTTTATTGTTTCTCCTTAGCACTTGGCTTTGGGTATATTCGTACTTTATCCTCTTGAAAGATAACATACAATCTGGTCTTGTAGATACTATTCAACTTATTGGTGCATTATTTTAATTTTGATTTAACTTTGTTTAACAGAGCTAATGTGTACGCTTTATTTCAGGTAACATGGCCAAAAATTTCAAAGTTCACGACTTAAATGTAGAAGCAGAAGCTTCAGACGGGGATGAGGACGAGGATGACATTGACTGGGAGGAGGGTTGAAGGATTCACTAGGTCACATGTTTCCAAATATATGTGCCACGATTTGCATTATTAATCATATGTTATACTATAAAAATTTATCAAAGTTAGAGGGTGTTTGATGCACATATTTTAGAAAAGAATGCTTTTTATGATGTGATATGATGGAAAATATGTGGTTAAAAAATTTAAAAAAAAGTTTTGGATTTACGTGTAATATTATTTTATTGAAGAACGTGTGATTGAAAATAAGTTCAAAGAAGAATGAGATCAAGCAGGGCCGTAAATGTACACTGCCACTATTTATGGAGTTGCATATTTGATGCCCGTAATCAATGGACTGTTTTTTAAGAGTTTTGACTTGGTCAATTAACTATTCTAAGACGTCAAATTACGACTTTCCCTAGAAATTAGTATTTGTACAAGTCAAGTCCAAATTACAAAAATTAGGCCACTAGAGGAAATTCTTATAGTGAAGGAATCTTCTGAAGATTTATTAGGTTTATGGTCGGATGGGGAAATACAATCTAATATAGATTTCATTCCTGGAACCATTCCAATTTCACAGACACCTTAGTGAATGGCTCCCGTTGAGTTAAAAGAGTGAGTCTGGTTTGACTTCTCGAGCCGAGATTTCAATAGGCTTTTCTTCATAGGTTAGGTATGGTTGCAATTCATCCGGGATGTCTTTTACATGTGAGATGGTTCGAGCATGTATTTTTGTAACAGGGAGAATCACTATGGACTTTGTTGTAGGATTGCCTCGAACCTCAAATAATCATATGACGTTATATGGGTTACAGTTGATTGGCTTACTAAGTCGGCACATTTCCTCCCAATTTGAACTACGTATTAAATGAAATGCTTAGCTGAATTATATATTTGCGAAATTGTTTGACTCTATAGAGATCCAATTTCTATCGTCAATTTCAGTACCTCATTTCACCCTCAGAAGAACAATACAAGCACTTGAAGACATGTATTTTAAGGGCACGAGTGATGGACTTTCAAGGCACCTCATTTCACCCTCAGAAGAACAATACAAACACTTGAAGACGTGTATGTTGAGGGCATGAGTGATGGACTTTCAAGTCAACTGGAGTCGATATCTACCATTAATAGAATTTTCATATAACAATAGTTATCATTAATCAATCAACGTGCCTCATTATGAAGATTTGTATGGAACAAGATGTAGATCACCTTTGTATTGGGATGAAGTTGGAGAGACAATTAACTGGCCCTGAAATTGTGCATGAAATGCAACAAATTTGACAATGGATTATTACGCAGATAAAAGGAGACGAATACTAGAATTTAATATAGGAGATCAAGTGTTCATGAAAACCGCGCCAATAAGAAGGACAATGCAATTTGGAAGAAAGAAAAACTCAGTCCAAGATTTATTGGTCCTTTAAAAATTCGTGAACGAATAAAAGTTGTAGTTTATAAAGTGGAACTTCCCAACTTAATAGATTGAGTGCATAATGTATTTCATTTCTACATGTTACGAAAGTACATGCCAAATCCGTCTCATGTGTTAAAAGACGTCCCGACGATTTACAACCTGACTTAACCCTTGAAGAAAAGCCTGTTAAAATCTTGGATCTAGAAAAGAGTCAATTTCGTTGATGAAAGTTTTATGGAAAAGTGAAACAGTGGAAGAGGTCACCTAGGAACGTGAATCGACTATATGCGAAAAATATCTAGAAATTTTCAAGCAAATTTTGAGGACGAAATTTTATAAGGAGGGAATATATTAATATTCCATAAATTTTATTTATTTATCAATCGATAAACAATATCGTTACTTTGAACGACAAAATTGTCATATTTTAATAACTGAAAATAACATAATGTTATCAATAGTTAATTGAAATAGATAAATAGTTTATGGCTTAAATCCAAAGAAAGAAAAAGGACCAAATTAAAACAAGAAATGGAGGTGGCTACATAGTTCTATCTTTTCAAAAAAAGCATATGGACATTAAGGGATGATCCAGTAGCTTGTTAGTTTTGTTGTCTGTTCTTACTATCTTAAAGACTAAGGAAGTAAGGAAAAATATAATAATTTCAGCTCCAAATCAGCCAATGGGAGAAAGGTTATGAAAGGTGAAAAGGGCCTTATTTAAAGCCTAATTTTCAGGCATTCCAACCCCACTGCATACATAATTGAGGAAGAAGCTGAAATAAAAGGGAAAGAGGCCAAAAAGGCTGTTGAACTTTAGATTCTGGTAAGAATCTTCCATATATAAAACACGTGCGATATGAAAAAGGAAAGAAAAATTTATGAATTGAATAAAACCAACTTAGGATAATACAGTTCACAACTTTCTATTGGGACAAATTAATCTACCTTTTTAGAATTGGTGTATCTACTTTTAGATAAGAAAATGGTATTTTATTCTATCTATTGTAAAGTTTACCTTTTAAAATAATTAAATTATTTACAAAAAAGACTCTACTTTGTAGTTAATAATGTATTAAATTCTCTCGAAGAAATTGCGAGTTGTAGCTTAAATGCATGATCAAAATGCTTTTGAGTATCGGCGTGTGTGGCTTGCTTACTTATTTTGAAAGTAAATTTGAATTTAGTACAAAAGTAACTTTTGATCACAGTTGACGAGATAAAATGTGTTAGGTTGGACATCGATCCAAAAAGAGTACGAGTCGAAAAATGAAAAATTATATTTCCCATCAACTTGTATCATGCAATTGCATGGTTATAGCCATTGCGATCGCATGGCAAAAGAACACCAAGCTAAATCTCTAAATCAAAGAATTTGGAGTTGATAGGTGAGGTTTTTAGATCAGTTTGATTTCTTACGGAGGGGAGTGGGGGTGTTGGGTGTTGGAAAAGATGAACTTTATTATTATTATTTTAAATATGTTTTTTATTTTTTTTAGTTAGACTCATTTGCATATTTTGAAGATATGAAATTTTGCCTGCAATTGTTTCTTAGTTTTTCTTTCTTCATTTTACAAGCTTTTATTAGGGGTGGGGTTGGGTCGGGTCGGTTTTTGTCCCAACCCAACCCAATACGATCGGTTTGATCGAAATTCAACCCAACTCAACCCACGAAAAAATTGAAACACAACGCAACCCAACCCAATCCAACCCAACCAAATGTCGGTCGAGTTGGGTCGGTTTGGTCGGGTTGGAACAATCTTTCAACAAATATTAAAGTTTTAAAATTCTGATTTTTTTTAGCAAAATACTGAATATAAAGCAACATTAATAGTCTTTCAATATCAATAAATTTCATATTTGATAACACATAACATATTTGACAACATTTACATAATGTAAAAAGAAAGGTTATGAAAGGTGAAAAGGACCTTATTTAAAGCCAAATTTTCAGGATTTCCAACCCCACTGCATACATAATTGAGGAAGAAGCTGAAATAAAAGGGAAAGAGGCCAAAAAGGCTGCTGAACTTTAGATTCTGGTAAGAGTCTTCCATATATAATGTTCTTTATCGATTTCAGCAGCCTAATCTAATTCAGAACACGTGCGATAATGAAAAAGGAAAGAAAAATTTATGAATTGAATAAAACCAACTTAGGATAATACAGTTCACAACTTTCTATTGGGACAAATTAATCTACCTTTTTAGAATTGGTGCATCTACTTTTAGATAAGAAAATGGTATTAGTACACCTAGTCCCTCCCTGTCTGGCAACAATTATTTGAAGATTTTAATCAGAAATTAGACCGTTATACAGCCACGTAAGTCCTATTGTGGCAAAAAAACTAACAACATTTTATTCTATCTATTGTAAAGTTTACTTTTTAAAATAATTAAATTATTTACAAAAAAAACTTTACTTTGTAGTTAATAATGTATTAAATTCTCTCGAAAAAATTGCGAGTTGTAGCTTAAGTGCAGAATCAAAATGCTTTTGAGTATCGGTGTGTGTGGCTTGCTTACTTATTTTGAAAGTAAATTTGAATTTAGTACAAAAGTAACTTTTGATTACAGTTGACGAGGTAAAATGTGTCAGGCTGGACATCGATCCAAGGAGTACGAGTCGAAAAATGAAAAATTATATTTCCCATCAACTTGTATCATGCAATTGCATGGTTATAGCCATTGCGATCGCATGACAAAAGAACACTAAGCTAAATCTCTAAATCAAAGAATTTGGAGTTGATAGGTGAGGTTTTTAGATCAGTCTGATTTCTTACGGAGGGGAGTGCGGCGTGGGTGCGGCGTAGGAAGGGGTGGGGTGTTGGAAAAGATGAACTTTATTATTATTATTATTATTTTAAATATGTTTTTTATTTTTTTTAGTTAGACTCATTTGCATATTTTGAAGATATGAAATTTTGCCTGCAATTGTTTCTTAGTTTTTCTCTCTTCATTTTACAAGGTTTTATGGAGAAAAATTAAAAAAAAGTTTTATTCAACAAAGTTTGGATGATTTAGGAGGGTTTCACAAAATTAAAGTTTAGGGTGTTTTGCGACAAAATGAAAGGTTTGGGGTGGGGTGGGGTGGGGTGGGGTGGGGACGACGTAAGGTTAGGGTGTATTGGACAAAATAAGAGCCTGTCTGGACATGCTTTAAATTCAATTTCCTACCGTTAATGGAAGTAAAGAACAACCGTTGGACTGGCGCTGTCAGAATAAATTGAGTGCACTTTTACCAATTTGTCCTTGCTAACCTTCTTTGACTTTTCAAGCCATATTACGTGAAAATTGCTGTGAGGAGGGCAAATGTGAAAATTGGCTGGCCAAAAGCTGAATTTCAGTCTGCACAATTTCTGTAAGTTTTGTCCTTGGAAATGTTGTTAACGGTCGTTAAAATGCTTGCCAGACAGCCTCTAAGTAACATTAGGGAGGTATTGTGCCAAAATGAAAGGTTACGGTGTATTGTGCAAAACAAGTAACATTAGGGAGATATTGTGCCAATTACATTTGTATTATCTGTCATCTTTACTGTTTTTCATGCTTAATCAAACCATATTACGTGAAAATTGCTGTGAGGAGGGCAAATGTGAAAATTGGTTGGCTAAAAGCTGAATTTCAGTCTGCACAATTTCTATAAGTTTTGTCATTGGAAATGTTGTTAATGGTCGTTAAAATGCTTGCCAGACAGCCTCTAAGTAGCATTAGGGAGGTATTGTGCCAAAATGAAAGGTTACGGTGTATTGTGCAAAACAAGTAATACTAGGGAGATATTGTGCCAATTACATTTGTATTATCTGTCATCTTTACTGTTTTTCATGCTTAATCAAACGGAATTGGACGATAGATGGGTCTTTTGCACGGGAAAGGTCATCAAGGGAATATTTCATTAAAATGAAAGGATGTCATGCATTCCGCAATAGAGGCAAATGTCGAAGGATTTTGCACTAATTACCCTTCTAAATATATGACTTTAGTCTAGATGAAACTTCAAAGAAGTCCCAATATTAGCTGGTGCAACTTACCCAAGACTCCAAACGTTTATACTTTGAACCATCACAATAATGACATTTGAACAAAATATGATAACTCATAAGTTTATCGCAATGACTTCTTGATTTTACGAAATATCTTACAACTCATAAATTCAAACTCATCAAGTGCTTGTTTGGTTTAGATAAAAAAAAGTTGATAAAAATTTTCCTTTACCTAATATGTGCCATAATTGACAAATGGTTGCCCCCTATTGGAGGTCTGGGTAAGATATTATGACACAAATTAGGTAAGATATTATGTACAACAAGAATAATCCAAAATTTAAATCAAAGTCAACAGTTAATTTAAAATCGCATTTTTGATAACTTTTAAAATTTATATTTCATCAATTTTATAAAAAAATATTAAAAATCTAATTTTTAACAAAATCAAACAGGTGCCTAATGTTAGGAAAATCATTCAAAAAATTAGTATAAATAAATAAATAAATAAAATGGAAAAGCTTGAAAACAAATTCAAAATAATATATTATTCTTCCTTGGTTATACCATCAAAATTCTTTACCTCCATTTTCTCTACCCTCCAACCATCCAAACCCGCGGCCGACCCGAAAACGGGTCGAAATCTGCAAATCCCTTTCTCTCTCAACATATTCATATACCCAAATTTATATATGCAGATATGTACACCATGTGTAAATTTATATAGCTAGTTTTTATAATTGTACCTTTAAATCGGTCTCTCAATAATTCGTTATCGTGTTCTTCGTTCATTTACTAATATCTTTGTTTTACCCTGTCAACCGCCTGTTTTTCGTTTATCCTTGTCTTTTTCTTTTTTGGTTTCATTTAATTTCTGCTATTGTTTTGGTTCGTGAAAAGGAGCTGCTTCTGCTGGATAACTGCAATTGGGTTTGGAAGGTTCGTGCCTTTTAACGCTAAACTAGTTAGGGTTTCGATTTCATTGCATTATTTATAGAAGAATGATTATTTGGAATTTACATTTTATGTTGTAAATGATAGTTTTTTATTGGGTTTTGCATAATTAGAATGTCAATGAGGTGAAGATGAATCAAGGAGAAACTGCTGAAACCATCCCCACTCTGGATCCCAAGTTGGTAGAGGTAATTACTTCTATTCTCTCGCTATATATACGTTCGAATGATGTTTTTTCTGGTTATGATTTTGTGCAAAAGAGAAAAGAGTTGCGGTTAAGCATGGTAATGATTTTAATGTGCATGACAATAAATGCTTGATTCTTCAATGCTTCAATTGCTTGCAACTTTGCTTGTGATGCTTGATGCTGATCAGTATATTTAAATTAGGTTTCTTTATTTGGAAGAGAAGGATGTGTTCTATAAGGAGTTGATAGGTCATGGTGTATGTACCTTCTTTCGCTTTGTATATATGTGGTGGTTAAGATTAGATAGCAATAAAGTCAGAACAGATTGAGAAAGATTTTATAGATTTCACTGATGCTTGGGGATACTTATTTAGTAAGATTTGAAGGTTTCTAGCATTGTCAGTGGGTTCCCCTTTCTCTTTTTCCAGGTTTACCCATTTTTTTGGGATTACCACACGTGTAAATTTCTACTTCTGTTTGACATCTGTATGGTAAACACACCTTGTTTGTGAGGGATCTTCCTTTTAATTTTATTACTATTTCCCCTTCACTCTCTCTGTATTGTACACACGCACACGCACACGCACAAGACAAACAATTGATGTAGGAAATGATCAGGAAATCTCTCATAAAGCCCCCTACAAAGAATTTTTGTGGTTGGATTTGATTTAGATTATGTGGATAATAAGTTTGCTAAGGGGTTAAGGATGATTTTCTGAGGAGAGGAAGATATTTATGGAATTTTAGGCTGTTGTGGTTGCTGAAAAACTGTTCTAGGAACAGTAAGTTTTAGAAGATTCTTTTGTTTTTTATGTTTTATCATTTCAAAAGGGGACATGCTTAAAGGCTTTGGTTTAATGACTAGACAAAAGATATAGTGCTGAATCTGTGAGAAAAAAGGATCCTCACAAGTGGAAAAGCTGATGAATTTATTGATTTTTCATAATTATCAACTTCATTGAAAGATACAGAATTACACGAGTATAGACTCTCAAGGAGAAAGGATCTGGTGTCCTGGATAGGAAACATAGAGATCTGGAGTCTTTGACTACTAAGGTTATTTTAGATGAATTTATGACTCTCTAAACAATTAAACAACATAATCAAAATTAGGATAGGACCCATGCTCCATATATATGTCCATCTCCAACATTTATTAAAAGGCCCAACATAAAATTAACTCCAAAAAATAGTAATAATAATAAAATCCCAATATCCTTTCAAGATAACGTATGAAAATATCATTCTAAATATGCCAAAAATTGTGGGAAATTCAATTGTAGAATTCTAGATGTATTTTCCAATTGTAGAATTCTAGATGTGACCTCATTTTTGTGAATATGTTATGTGTCAAAATCTTAGCCCTTGTTTGAGCCCCATTTTTTCTTCAAAATGAATTCTTGAACAGTGATTTGACCTCATTTCAACCACACATTTTTCAATAAAATAATGACACGCAAACCCAAAATTTTTCCTTATTTTTTAACCACACATCCTCTATCAAACGCTATTGCAAAATGCATTTTTTGAAAAAATAGGACTCAAACATGTTCCTTAATGAAGTCTTATTCCATGGCCAACTACATGGGCTGTATATCTTCTGTTCTCTTCCACTTTGTTTTATCTAAGATCAAATTCAAACAAAAGCTCGGCTTTGAGCCGAGCCCAGCCCATGAGCTCGTGTAAATTTTTTCATTTTTTTTTTTTACTTTTTTCTTAAGATTTTGTACGAGCTCGTGGGCTCGTGAACTTAGGTGCCCACGAGCTGTTCGCGAGCAGAACGCTCTGCTCGCCGGCGAACCTATGGCTTGGCTCGTGCAATGATGAGCCCGAGCCGCCCACGAGCAGACTTTCAACGAGCCGAGCGGCCGAGCCGACGAGCCGCTCGGCCCATTTGCCACCACTACAACTAGCAGCATTTATTAGGCTCATTTATTATTCTACCTCATATTGTATCATCAATCTATTTTCACATGTTATTGTTTATTCATTTGCTACTCCTAGGCCCTACTTGTAGTTGTGTGTAGCATCATATTGAAGTCCTCGAAAGATTTTCCTTTTAACCTAATAAAAATTATTCAATTACAAGATTTTTTCTACTTTTTCCAACCAACTCTGTATTTTTTTTAGTATCATCTTCAATTTGACTGGCTATTGAAATCATTAATGATGGAACCTAGATAATGGAATTTTCCAATGTTAGGTACTTCAATCTCTCCAACACTTGTTTCCTTCCCATTTTGTGCTTCTACCAAGAGTGTAATTACACTTCATGCATTTAATCTCCCATTTGCCTGCATCAGATGCTTTTGTATGAGATAATATGAGCATAGATCGACCAAAATGAAAAAAACGCTGGACATCTTCATGTATGCCCATTGCCATTATAATAGAAACAAAATAATTTTGGTAGGGAACCACTAAATTATCCTGCATTATTTTCTCTATAGCCTATCATTCCGTTATATGCTAACTCAGTTATGTCAATATATACTAGCTTTTACACATTTTTCTAAAATACACCACAACATGTTTATTCACAATTATTGAAAATCATACGATGATCGTTTTTAACCTGATCAATAGAGCATGTTTGACTGTGATTAAAGTAAGTCAAGCTTACCTTCAAGTTACATATTTTGCCAAACATTACCCTTTTTACTAACAGAACTTACTTTCAGATTTACTTTGTAGAGAAGTAACTTTTAAGCTTAGCCAACATGTGCGATCCTCAACAGTAGATCTCTCGGGGTTAAATCAAAGTTGATTCTCTGTTAGTGTCATTTCAAACCCTTAAGTCATCTGTCAATTACTCTCCCCGAGTTTTGTCATGTGATTTGTCAATTTAATTTACTTATAATTTGCATGAATATGAATTCTTGGTATGTTATAAATAGGAACTAAAATGCTTTCTCCATTCATTGAGCACCTTTCAGGATGAAATATATGATACCTAACTTTGTCAACCAAGATAATCTTATCTAAGCATGGTAGTTAATTGTCTTCTTGAGGTGAGCTTCACAGTTCACGCTGCTCAAATTCATCCTGATGTTATTAATGAGCCTGATAAAATGTTCAAACTCAGCTGGCTTAATGTTTGAACTGAGCCTGAATAGAGTAAATTTTGAGCTAAGTGCTTGGTTAATTTGCATTACATTTAGTACTTATAAAGTTTCAGAGTTGAGCTTGAAAATTTTACAAGCTTTAAAATTTGTTCAAGTTCAACATTGTTTCTTCTAAAGTGAGTTTTTGTGTGCATGTGCCGAGCTATTCAAACCTATTTACAGCCCTAAATCTGAGAAACTTCCTTAGTTTAATAAAATACCATTGGGTCTTAACCCAGAACCTTATTCTCTTCTCTCTTGGCTCTACACATTTGTATCTATTAACATATTAAAAAATGTTAAATATATAACAAAAGAATCAGAATAGAAGATCTGATTGCTTAGCTGATTTCTAGCCCAATGCTCGCGCAATGGCTGAGGTTTCAGTTTGCATACACTAAAATATAATTATACACTAGTTTATTTGAGATTTCTATTCTCAGTACCTTAGTTTGCATTGGAGCCTGGCCTCATACCTGAAAGAGGATCAAGGAGAGCGTTTGATTTTTTTTTATTTTGTTTATTTTTTTTAAGAAGTTAACTTTTTGCCTTAAGTTTGGCCATTTATGTGGGCAAGCCTATGGAGCCAACTAATATAGTTTTGGAATATAATTTATTCTTTTAACATGTTCAAATCCGTACTGCAGTTACGTCATTTATTTTGAACTGATTTTACCCGTCTGGAAGCGGGTTATAAATGTGCGGGTTCTTGCTACAAACAAGATAACTTTCTGTTTTGCGTATGGGGTTTTTAAACTGTAAAGTTCAGTGGCTCACCTTGTGTTACTTTGAAATAGGTGGTAAATGCTCAGGTGTTTTTTCTATTTCCTGTAGCCCCATATAAAATCTCACAATATTGTATAGCAAGCTAACTGAATTTTTTTATCCAATGAGCTCAAAAAAGTATTGCCATCTTGTTCTTTTAACTTCCTTTACATCTATTTAGTTATTATGTTCTCTCAGTTGAGATGACCTTGAGTAAATATGGGTTCTTTCGACTGATATGTTGCTCCCCCTCATCTGTCAGAAGCACCAGGTTGTTGATCAAGTTCATACATCTTCATTATATCCTCCTATTCCTGCTGTGGCATCATGGAGCACGCATGGGGAGAATCATATCTTGAGGGAGAATGGAACCCTGTCTAATCCCAGTTACCACCATGAACAGAGAGTGGAGCCGAGCTCAAGAAATGTTAAAGATGGGATGAATGTGTCATCTATTGCTTCTACTTCAAATTCAGGAGTAGCAAATGTAGCACAAGGTTATAGTGGCTATGCTACCTATCCAAATACTGATCCATATGGTTACAATAGCTCAGGATATGCAGGTTACTATAGTGGCTACCAACTGCAGTCCAATCAATACCAACCGCAGTCAAGTCAATACCAACCGCAGTCCAATCAATATCAACAGCAATCCAATCAATACCAACAGCAGTCCAGTCAATCATACCCTCAGCCTGTAGGAGCTTACCAAAACACAGGTGCTCCTTATCAGCCTCTTTCCTCATTTCAGAATACTGGGTCTTATACTGGACCTGCAAGTTATTCAAGCACTTATTACAATCCTGGTGATTATCAGACATCTGGAAGTTACACAAGTGGCACCTATGGTGCTCAGACCAACTTGTGGCATGGAGGGCAGCATGGAGAATACAGTTCTAATCAATATACAAGCTACAATCCAGAAACAAATGCTGCTTATAGTTCTACCACTGCTATTGCAACTTCACAATATCAGCAACATTATAAGCAATGGTCAGACTATTATAATCAAAGTCAAACGGAAGTTAGCTGTGCTCCTGGGACAGAGAACTTGTCTGTTTCAAGTGCATCTAATCTGAGTTGTTCTGTTCCTGGTGCAAGTGGTGGGTATTCGGCTTCAAACAGCCAGCTGCCTGCACCTTATACCCTGTCTTGGAGGCCAGAATCAAGTTCATCTGAGTTAACACCATTGCAGGTTTGGTTGTTCCTTTGACTTACAGTTACCAGGAAGTTGATGTTCATTATTCGGGTCTGTTTATGCATGATCATTTGATTTATGCTTCTGTATGTTTTAAATGGTTTAATTGAGGGAATAGTTTTATTCACATATAAATCTCTAGTGCCTTACTTTTATCGATGAACTTTGGCATCTGGAGATTGACAAAACAAAAATCCTACTATTCTGATGTTAATGTTTCTCTTCGACCATAATGTTTGTCAGATTCAACTTCAAGTTATTGGAGTATTTCTGATTCAATGGATGTATTACTTATATAATTCAGTAAATCTGCCTTAGTTCTTCAGTCATGTGAGGAGTATAGAGGTGGAGTTGGGCATGTCTATAATAACTGCACAAGCATTCCAGCATTCACATGTTTGTCATTTTCAAAACACACTAACGCAGAATTAGAAATTTCACGTACATGCGTGTTTTTTTTGTTTTGCTTTCATAGACATTTAAGTTATTTTTAGAAGTCTGTATAATAAAGATCTGTTTTCTTTCAAAAGAAGTATTGATAGGCATTTGTGGAAGTGGTCTGAAGGATGATGGTTTTATGTGTCTCCTTACAGATTCTCTCTTCCAGAGAATAACTTTCCTATTTAGGTGTGGTAAAACAGATGATTGGTTGAAGTATTGAGGTTAATTTTATTATAACTGTAACCTAACCTACTAAATGAATGCAGTAAGTGTTGGTTGCAAATTTTTCTGGAACATGGAAGTCATTTCATAAAACAAAAATCGGGGTTGCTTCCATGCACGTCAACGAAAATCTTATGGTTTCCACCAATCCCTTTTTGCCTCTTCTTGCTCTTTCCTCCATCGTACCTCCTTGTTGTGTCGAGCATGTTTCTGATATTAGCAGAAAACCTTTCTTGGTTCTACTTGAGTTGTTGACCACCATCAGCATCCTTGGCAATTATAGTTCGGTGAACAAGAAATTCATAAAATCAATTTGAACAATAAGAGAGCTCCTTTGCAACATGAAGATCTTTTAATCATTTCCTTCTATAATACTAGGAATGACGCAAAGGAATAAAACAAAAAGGATTATTTGCAGAGACTTACCTGGATCATTAACTGAGAAAGTGACCTATAATTCAATAAGATGCAAAGTTAATTGGTAATAAATTCTTTGGATCGATAACTGTTAAACTGAGATTCCAAGAAGCTCTCTCTCTCTCTCTCTCTCTCTCTGTGTGTGTTTATTTTCCTCAGGCAGAGAAGTTTTCTCTGCATAAGGAGAAGCTTATCATTGTGATATTCTTTCCTAGTTGGGGTTTGCTTTTATCTGTGAACCTGTTTTCTACTAATAGGACATTGGCAAAATTGTGAGAAACTAAACTATGCTGTTTGTTGAATTATCGATATCAAGCTTCAATCATGACCAGACCAGGCCTTTTTATGGATTGTAGTCTCAAACTTATAAATCATTGTGCAGTATAGATATACTTTGTAAGGTTATGTCATGGTCTTTTGGTCCGTAACTATGAGCACTGTCTGGTTGTTCATGGAGGGAAAATGATATGCCATAGTTTTTTTGGCCATTACACTTCTCCACTTATATAATATGACTGAGAATTGTAAACATAAAACTGTGGATATGCTAGTCTTCATTTTTTATGTCCAACTTTGCTTATGATTTTAATGCCATTGACGAAGGTTTCCTCAATCTATTCAATTATCTGAAAAGTTACGGGACTTGTTACTTGTTTCTTTTGTAGCATAAGGGGATTAATAATATGTTGATTTGCAGTACTATCTGAATTAGTTTACTTCTTCCGACAGATATATTCTTTTCTGTTTTAGTAGTATGGGGGTAGAGACAGACATGGTGTGGGCCCATACTTTGCGAAGTTTGATTGCATATTGTAGATTCTTGTCAGATTTCACAAAATTTATTGATCAATTGGCAAGTCAAATTCAGCATACTGTGATCTTTTGTTGTCAGCCTGGCGTAGTAAGTGGCAGTATCCATGAAGGTTACTGGAAACAGGGCACTCCTGCTTTGCAAGATAAATATTCTAATTCTCAACCACTGCATGTTCAAAATCCCCTGGATGCAAATCCTACTCATGGAAGTTATCAGAATCAACATCAGTCTACATTTTCTCATGGTCCCAGTACACTATATCCAGCTTCTCACCCAGTGTCCCCGTCATCCTTTCAAAATGTACCGCAACCTCTCGATTCCCGCAGGGTAAGCAAACTGCAGATTCCAACCAATCCCAGAATTGCTTCAAACCTAGCATTGGGTTTACCAAAACCTGACAAGGACAGCACTACAGCTAGCTCAGATTCAAAGCCAGCCTATGTCAGTGTTTCAATGCCAAAGCCAAATGAGAGAGAATTGTCTCATGATGCAACTGATTCTATGCTTAAGGTTATACTGTTCTGTTTTAGAATTTCTTTTGATAACGATGGATGACTCTGTTATTGATACTAGCTGCATAAGATGTATAATTTGCAGCTTTTGAACGATTGACCTTTTTTGTAGAAAGCTGGAAGTTCTCTCTAACTTGTATGTTTTCTGCTTTCTAATATTTTGCTAGCTATACATATCTGGCACGTGAAAACTCAACGGAAGTCACTGCATCGCTTCGCTTCCTTTCTTTCTTTTTTTTCTTTTTTTCCACTTAAGGTTTCAATAAAAAAAGATAAAATAGAGACTGCATCATACGATAAAACTCACAATAATAAAGTCTGCCATTTCATTTTTGTATTATTTGTATGTGATTGATCGGTATTAGTTTTTGGTACCATAGAAACATAAAGCTTGAACAAGATTCTCAGCGTCTTAATGTAATCTCCACCGCATTTTTTTCTCAAATTCTAAGTATTTGATTTTACTAAATATTTCGTTGACGTTTGTTTCTTGTACTTCATCTCCTGTATATCCTTTTTTCCTGGAGGTCCTCACTGCTATCTGCATTTTACTGTGTACACATTGATAATGAAATGTAGCTAATTAGCTATGTTCATGTGGCAAGATGAGAACAAGATAAACGAGATGCTATCAAGTGTTTTAATTCTGAATCTCACTAACCAACACATGATAGACTCTTGGTGCAGACGGGACTTGGAAGGAGAGAGGTTTTGGTGGTCTAGGTGCTAGGTTTGAGTTGTAGCCTTATTGAGTTGTTGATGATCTTTCATCATTTATTGTACTACTGTTCCATTTCTAAACAACATCCTTCATTATTTGATATTTAGATGGCTTAGCAAAGAACTAGGGAAGTAATTTGAGTGTACATAGTTGGCAGGCGTTTAGGTTGCTGAGGAATAATGCTCTACAAAAACTAGAACACAAATTGATGGATCCGTCAAGTTAAAAACATCTCTGTAAGGCATAATTTAGGATCATCAGGATTTTGTTTTGTTTTTCATTTGAGAGATATTAGATCAGCTTTCTTGTATTAGATGATAAGTGACAGAAAAAGAATTGAGATATTAGATCAGCTTTCTTGTATTAGATGATAAGTGACAGAAAAAGAATTGAGAGGTTGGATAGATGGGGTTGAGCTTTGCTCAAGCAACACTGCGGTCTAGTGATTCTTGGTCAGAAATGATGCGGACAAAGCCATCTATTGTGGTTGTTGTAGTCAATATTTGCTGGTGTTGACTTGGACTAGTAGAGTTGGAGCTCCTTACCGTATAATCCTTGTTGATGATTGATTCATCCCAGAAAACAATCTCATAAAACATTTATGCTGGTCAATGGGTATTGTTTTTACGCCCTAGATCAACTTTGTTCTAGTTTAGTATTGTAGTTGTATGTCATGCCTGTGAGGATAAGCATTTGCACCTCATGTTTAACTTGTCGTTTCAGTTATATTATTTGAGTTCATTTGTCAGTAGAACTTCGTGAACAGGAAAAATCATGACATGTCATGACCTGCTGTGCCATCATATTTCAGTAACACATACTACAATGAATGGAGGATGCATTCCTGATATCATACTGAACTATCTTTTCTGGTGCAGCCTGGCACGTTGCCAAACTCATTGCGTGGTTATGTTGAAAGGGCTTTTGCTCGTTGCAAAGATGATGCTCAAAAGGCAGCTTGCCGAGTTAAAATGAAGGAGGTATATATTCTAGTTGATGAAAGTCGAAAGATTAACTTGGGCTTAATATTTTAATGGGTACAAAGGCATGAAAAACATGGTACCTCTTTGCATTAAAATTAGTTCATACGCACTTCGAAGTTTATATCTCTGTTTGCTTGAAAACTGTGGGCATATACTACTTTCTCTCATGATTAAGACGGATTGTTTTAGTTGACCAATCATATTTGCCTGTTGCTCCTGGGATGTTGATGTATGAAATTCACTTAATTGTATATATAGCACTTGAAGATAGCTGATACAACATTTTTATATGGAATTCACTTAATTTCCCATCTTTCATATTTTTTAGTCTTGCTCCACGCTCTCAAACTAATTATCGTGTAACTTTGCACAGGTTTTAGGTAAGAATAAAACGTGTAGATCATTTCACCTTTATTATGCCTCTCGCTCTATGACATAAATTTAAGTCTATTCAAGAGTCTGATGTTGGCCATGTATTGGAATTCCGAAAAAAATTAACGTGTCAATTGTGTCTGTTTGAGAGAAGACTGTTGAAAAGGAATCCATTGTAGAAATTAGACATTACTGTTGAGATATTTCAAAAGTAAGAGAAAGAAACTCAATTAGAGATGGAGGAAAATGCTATCTTCTCCATGTTTGGCTACACACACGTATGATGTAAAAATTTAAATAAATACATAACATTGTATATATGCACGTGTTTGCATGTGTATATGCATATCTATCTATATTTAGAAAATTTTAGGGCTGGGATAGGAAGTTACATGCTGTTGAGAATCAAAACTTTTCAACTAAAGTATAGATGACATGTCATAGAAATATGGCTGATGGGAAGCACATAAAACTTTTTCAGCAAGAGGAAAAACGTAATTTTAGTTGAAGAGAAGAAATTGTTTTCAGCTTAGAAGGAAAATTCAAAATTTACTTCAATAGCACTAACTTAAAATTGTGCAATTTCTTCAACAGGGAGATTGTCTAGTTAAATATGGTCCAATAAAATGGAACTTGTGCGTTCTCCTTGTTTAATCATCTTATATCTTCTCATCACAATTTTAATATTCAAAGATCTAAATGTAAGACTAACCATAGGGCTTGTGGTTTTTTGATTCTTTTCAGGTTTGCTGATTATATTTCATTAATCCAGTTGCTGATTTGCTATCTACTTTTTTTTTTCTTGTCAGTTTTAGGTTTAATCTTCAGCAATTAGTCCTTTATATTACCGTGATATGATGTGTTCAATACTTACCCTTCCGACTTTATTTAGCTATTATGTCTTGAATTTAGCCTTTCGACCATGATAAGATATTCTGTATTCATGCACATGAATAGATTAAGTGAATCATTTGATGTTAACATTTATTAACTTCCTTCTGCTAATTAGGTCATAACTAAGGCTAGGGCTGAAGGGATGCTGTATACGAGAGATTGGGATACTGAGCCTCTTTTCCCCCTGCCTGATGCCAATGCAGTTAACGAGGAGTATGTCTCCTCCCTGTCTTATGCACGAGTACAAATCCACACACGTGGGAAAATAACATACTAAATATTTAATCCCAGCAGTTGTGCTACTCTTTCTTAGTTGTTGTTAGGTAACATATAAGATGCTCATGAGCTGGCACTCCTATCAACACCACCCCCCCCTTCAAATTGTACAAAATTTACTTGAGTAATGATAGTATGCACATTCTATCATAGCAATGTTGGTCATAATCTCAGTGTTCACAAAGTCTGTTTGTCTTCATTCTCCTTTTTAGCAGTAAAAGAACACGAATCTTCTTACTAACTGTATCTTGTCTTCTTACATAATTTTGGACATTATATTTCTCATCTTAACTAATCCTGAAATCTTGATTTTATTATCCAGGGGTGGACAGTTTTTGGTTCCAATTTCTTCGTCGCCAAAGAACAAGAGAAGTCCTAGTAGGCGAGCCAAAAGTAGGTGGGAGCCTATTCCAGAGGAGAAAGTCGTTGAAAAATCAACTAATATTTCTTATGAAACTGTAAAGTATGGTGGTTGGAACAAACAGGTATTAATCTTACTTCTACCAGAAATGTAGTTAATGAGTTCTTAAACTGCAGATCAAATGGGTCCTACATTGAGTTTGTCATGTTTATGATGGTTATTCTGACACTTACCATTTTGCCACCATTTAATTTGATTTTATTGGTACATGAAACTATTTCATATTCATTCTATCCTGAAGGGTCAATGCAAGATGAGTTCTACATTCCTTATGTTTCACTTGTATGCTTGATAATTGTTATATCAACCTTTGCTGAATGTATCACTGCTCAGTTGTAAATGGAGAGAAAGAAATCGACGTTGCTTAGAGGACCAAACACGAACAGTAGAGCAGTATAAGGAGTTGTTTTATTTGACAATCTATACATGGTTTTATGCAGNTATTAGGCATATAGATGGGCTGCCCAATTTTTGTTTTTTCCTTTCTGTTTTGTATTGATGATAAACATCCTGTGTATCAACTTTTTTTAATTTAATATTCGTTTACCTTTCAAAAAAAAAAAAAAAAAATCACTGCTCAGTTGATTTATTGGAAGACTCAGTTATTTTAAATCTATTCTATCCTAATACAGGGTTGATGGCTGTTAACCATCTTGCCTAAAATCTCAAGCTATAATGGAGAGCCACATGTATTCATTTAAATTTTGCAAACTGGATTTATTTTTAGATCAAGGGTCTAAGATGTGCACAATTTTCATAAATGGATGTTGCCGAGAGTTCAAGGTCTTATCCCAGTTCCAATACCATGTTAAACACCTCATTCTAAAAAATTAAGCAGCTAGAGAGGGGCCACAGATATTTGTTTAAATCTTGTCTTCAACAATGGGTTTTGAATCTCAGTTTTGGTGCCACAGTATCATGTAATCACACATCTTGGCTTTGCTGATGGATGGCAAACAAAGCTGATGGCAAATGGTTGTAGATACGGTTAACTTGTTTGAAGAAAAGTATTTTCATGTTCTTGTTTGGATGGGTTACGACATTAATAAAATTTGGCAATGTATAAACTAAGATTTACATTGCCAAAAATCTTTAGACTTGGCAAGAACCTGGTGTCAGGCCTTGTAAATCAGCAAAAAGTTCTATCTAATTGGTCATTGCCAGTTTTTTGAGTTAATATGAGTGACCAATTGTGTTCATCTGTTTTGCAGTTTTCAGCTGGAAAAACAGAGAACAAGGAGAATACTATTAGCACAAAATTCTCTTTTCCAGAGCAGAAAATCAAAAACAATAATGACACAAGACCAACTAAGAGGCAGCGCCTTAGTAATGGTTTGAATGCAACAGAGGGTGGAACTTCTAGTGATAGTGATGAGGAACAGAGATTAACAGCATATTATTCTGCTGCTGTAGCACTTGCAGATTCACCTGAAGAAAAGAAGAGGCGGGAGAATCGTTCGAAACGTTTTGAAAAGGGACGTGGAAGTCGACCAGAAAACAATCAGTCAAAGGCAAAAAAAACGGGAGCCAGCAATTTTTATGCAAGACAGGCTAGTGCAGTAGTACTTGGGAAAAACTTTGAGGAAAAAGGGAGCAGGGCTGTTGAAGATATCGATTGGGATGCTCTCACAGTCAAAGGCACCTGCCAGGAAATTGAAAAACGCTACCTGCGCCTTACTTCTGCACCTGATCCTGCTACAGTAAAGTTCTTGTGTTTGCTTTGAAATAAATTTATGTGCTTAAATGATAGGTAGAGGTGCATTTTTAAGAAATATATTATTTTGCAGGTGAGGCCTGAAGAAGTATTGGAAAAAGCTTTACTTATGGTTCAAAATTCTCAAAAAAATTACCTTTACAAATGTGACCAGTTAAAATCTATACGGCAAGACCTTACTGTCCAACATATACGTAACGAGCTTACGGTGAAGGTATTTATCTTGTTGATGTCAACATCTGTTGATTGTTGTCAGTGTTCGTGATTCTGTTTTTCCTCTGTTTATAGCCTCCTATTGTTAATTAAGCTTGAAATATGATTTCTCTTTTTTCTTGGTTATTAGATTCTCTGGTTTTGGTAAATATCTTTTCTTAATGCCAAGATATGATTTTTTTCTTATAAGGTCTATGAAACTCATGCTCGATTAGCAATTGAAGTTGGAGACTTGCCAGAATATAATCAGGTTTTTTAACTTTGACTTTTAAACTTCCATGTTGACTTATTTGTTATTTTTCTGTTTGTGTGTTGTATTAGTCTTAACTCATTGGTGTATATGTAATGCCACCCTCTCATGTCAGATACTTCTAAGATTCCTGTACTTACATTATCAGTTTTAAAAGTAGCTTGCAGAATATTGTGGTTATTACGTGTGAGGACAATATTGGTTTGGCTATTTTTTATTTTTGTTCTCGTTTACTAAAATATACATTGAAAATGGCTATTTCTTTGTACTATTAGACGCCAATGATATCTAATATAGACAATGTCCATCCTGTTTCATTTCTTTGTACTATTAGACACCAATGATATCAAATAGAGACAATGTCCATCCCGTTTCACTCACTTCATATTCTTTGTCATCATCGAGAGATTAAAAGTGATTGAGAATGGCTACCTTCACTGTTCTGAAATTGCTTTGACATTTGTTGTCGCATTTATCATAGTACAAGGAGGGAAAGAAAGTTGATGAAGTAATTTTGCTTATTATATTTTGATACCTTTTTAATTCAAAGTTATTGAATGGAACTATATATGAGGGACCATAATTTTTTTACTAGAAACTTCTGAATGGAAGAGTCTAGACTGCAGCGATGCTCAAAATAGACACGGTGGCTGTTTTCTGCAGTTGAGTTTTACCGGTGCTTTGAGGATTGTGATGTCTTGGTGGTGATAGTATCGATATGGGGTTTTTAAATGTGTTGTTGTCTTTATGAAAATCCTGGTGAGAACAAGTGGCGGCCATTTTTTAGTTGTGTGCTGGTCTGGTAGTTCTCTTTCTTTCTCTCCCAGACGCAGCGTTCTTTCTTTTTCCCTCGGGGCAGGGGTACATTATATAGAAACTTGAAACATACTTCTTTATCCATTCCTTTTCGGTTTGGGTGAGGGAGTGGGGTGCAAGAGACAAGATCCTTCTGCGTATTCTAAATTATAAATTTCGCAACAGTAAAAGAAGAATTAAGTTTTAGTGGCTTTGCCAGGTAGATTTTTCACAAGGTGAAGGGATCGGAGAAGTAACAAATTTTCTCTAATGGTGCTGCAACTTAAATTAAGAGGAGAATAGAAGGGCAAATCTAGAACATGAGTAGGAGTATGTATTTGGTGCTGCTTAACTTGGACAATATCCATTGAAACGAAGTACTGTTTCATCTCATATAATAGCCTGTCTGGTTCTACATGAAAGCTATATGTGTGTGTGCTTGTTATATATGATTGATTTATTTCACTGTGAGGTAGTGTTATATGGTAATTTGCAGAGTTCGCTTTTCAATTTGTTTCACCTTGATCTTTAGAGTGGTAATAATTTTTTGCATTCTAGAATTCCCAATCCTTACCAACTAAAGACCAATGGTGATGTAACTTTGACATGTATACTGTCTGATTTAAGCTCGCATTTGTATTACAGTGAACTGTTTTCAGATTCATGGAATTAATTGCCTTTTATGAGTTTGTTTTGTTTTGTTTATCAATTGCCTCTCTGCTCGTGCAGTGTCAATCACAACTGAGAACACTTTATTTGGAAGGAATTAAGGGATGCCATATGGAATTTGCGGCTTACAATTTACTTTGTGTACTATTGCACTCCAGTAATAACAGGGATCTTCTGTCAGCAATGTCAAGGTTTGCGAGCATATGTACAGTTGCTTTGTTTTTTAATGTTTTATCTCCTTAACCCTAATTCTTTCTAGAACCAATTAATTATTCTGATGATAGCTGGAGCATTGTCTAAACTTATGTCCTCTTTCAGCCATCTCTTTCTTTCTCTCCTTGCTGTTTTTTGTGTAATATCCTACTGCCGCACTTGTGTGTTTCTCCTTGCAATTTTTTCTCCTATATTTTACCATTCCTTCTCGTCACACATAACAAGTTCCTTCTACCCTAGTAGGATTGGACTGCCACCATCCCATGCCAAATTGGTGAGATTAAGAGGACAAGAAATGTTATAAACTTATGAAGATCCAACTTTTCTGAAATAGAGCAATGCTTTCATTTCAGAATAAGTTGTCTTGGTTCGTGTTGATTTGGAGTTCTGGGTGAGGCTTATCACATACCATTTTCCTTATCTCCACGCTGTTAGTATCACCCCCAGACACCAACAAACTACTTGTCTCATGTATTGTTTGAATTCATAGCCTTAGCAAAAACTTGCATGATACGTCACTTTTCGTAACATAGAAGGAAATGAAAATATATACCTCAAAAATCTGATATTGATTCTGAACTTCAGATTTAGGTTCACAACAAAATGTCTTCGGCCAATATCAATAGCAAAATCATCTCTATGGGCACCTTCTTGCAAATAGGCTGAAATTTTTCTTGGTCTTAAGCAAGGAGAAAAGTGAGATTGTTGGATTATGATTGAGATTATTCTTTCCAATCTTAATTCTATCCTAAATGAGAGGGCTTGGCCAGTTTTCTTTGCCAAAGGAAATTGATTCAGTTTTGATATTATTGCACGTGCTCGAATCTCCTTTTATCCTAATATGGTTTAATCCTTCTACCAAACATGGTTACGACCAAAATTAGAGAAAGATCGTTTTAATCCAAATAAGAATATCTTATTCCAATTTCTATGATTTTTAATTTAATTTATATCAATTATCCAAAATTATTTGCATCAGTGACTTTAAAAATTTTTACCAACACGCCACTACTAGTTGGTTGTCCAGGGTCTCAAGAACCTAATTTCAATAAGATTTCGTGAATACTCACTAAAGAAATATGACTAAGCTTTTAGATTCTGTTTCATATTATATTAAAACAATACCATTTTTACTTTTTTCCTTGACCTACTAATAATCATAGTGTATTTTCCCTCGCGATGAGGATCAATATAAAAAAGAATAAATATTATGAACCTATTAGACCTCCCAACATTCCTTGAGTTACTCATTAGACCACTCACATATCTCTAGTTGAAATCTAATTTGTAGTAAATGTCATCATTATCTATTCTAATGCGACTTCTTTTATTAAAATTACCATGTACATGGATTTCGGGATATGGACCATTATATTAGTTTAAAGTAAAATTATTTTATCAAAATTTATTGCATGTTTGGGAAGTGATTAATTAAGACTTAACTTATTATAAGTTGTGTGTTTTACTGAATGTGTGGATAATAAGTAGTAGTTGTGGTCCTACGAAATGTGTGAATAAAAAATATGTTTGACCAGAAATGATTAAATTATAATAACTTACCAAACACACTCTTATTGTAGTGTCTATATCAAAACTATAAAACGAATTGTCCAACATACCGAGGATATTGACCATGACCTCATTTGATATCTTTATGGAATTACTCCTATGATTTGAGTCTATTGGTCTTCCTAAATTACAAGAGGCATAATATAGTAGCTTTGAGTAAACAAATATTAGCAATACTATTTTTAGGAAAGGCGTTTTCACTGTTATGTACCTATAATGCATCAACACGGACTCGTGTGTCTAGCAACAACTTGTGTCGGACACGTTGATTCACGATTTTTCAAAAAAGTACTAACAGGATATGTCTTCGACATATTGATTAAATTCCTTAAAATTCTTCATTTATATAGTATAAATTTAGTTTTATACTAATTATTAATTGTTCTTGCTAAAATCTTTTAAATATGAATACTTATTTTTTATTTAATAATAATTTTTAAGTTAAAAATATATAGCATTTCTAGTAAAAAAGAAAGATGACCATGACAAGTGTTCGAGGAGTGTTAGTATTTGACATGTGTCGGACATGGACACAGTATCCTAGTTGAAGTGTCGTGCAACATAGTCCTGTATGATGTTTTCTATGACATAACACACTAACATGTCAAACCCAAAATCTCATTCTACTTACCAGTGACCAAGACAATTCACTTCATCCCATTGAGGTCGACATTCTATATTCTCTAGCGATCTTTGTAACTCAACCCAGTAATGAACAATTTATCAAGTTACAAGAAATCCTTCAATTGTTCACGTCATGTACAATTTATCAAGAGGAATTTGATTTAAGATTCCTAACATGACTTGCCAGTTAGACATTAAAGTTTGTTGGCTGGAATAAGGTTTTGAATACATTGACAGTTATGCCACTTGTCGCTTGTGCCTATCCAATGAAGGGACAAAATGGGAAAGAGGATGGATTATTATATAAAAATAAAACCGGAAAGATGAATATCTTAATCATTTTTGTTTGTTTCAGATAATGATGTGTTACTATCTCATTTGCATGGAATTTGATAGCTTATATTATTGTGTGATAGATCGAATTACTAGTTCATCTGTTGCTTTGAATTTGAGCTTGGCATGCTAATGAAATAATTTCTGACTCCATTTGGTTGTGACACATAATTGATGAAGTGTTTAAATTAGTCAGTGGCAAGAGGGGGATTTATCAGGTCGGTTTTGTTCTTATCTGTGAGCAGATAAACATGCTAAACTTTCTTGGTTGTCAATATATTCTACAGATTATCAGTTGATGCTAAAAAGGATGAAGCAGTAAAACACGCTCTTTCGGTTCGTGCAGCCATGACTTCTGGAAATTATGTAATGTTTTTCAGACTATACAAGACAGCACCTAATCTTAACAGCTGTCTTATGGGTGGGTATACATACTTCATAGTTTGAACCACCAAATTAATTTACTTGATCGATCACCATATGAACAAATAGATGACAAATACAGTTCTGACTGCAGATCTTCACGCTGAAAAGATGCGATATGCTGCCATAAGATGCATGTCTCGTTCATACCGCCCTACAGTTCCCGTGTCATATATCACTCAGATTCTAGGTTTTGCTAATCTCTTGCTTACAACTGATGAGAAGGATGTGGATGGAGTGGATAACTGTGTGGAATGGTTAAGAGCTCATGGCGGGTGCCTTACTTCGGATAACTCTGGAGAGATGCTTCTGGATACGAAGGTAATTTATCCATTGTATTTTTATGCAAGTAGGGGGCAAGAAAACTTTTATGGATTGATATTTTTTCATTCAAACTCATTTCTAAAACATGTTTGATTGCCCAAAAGAAGTACAGATTGGAATATATGCTCGAAAAAGCTCTTATAGTAGAATCAGTTTTATTGTTGAATGCAGTAATTTCCATTTGAAAATGCGTGAACTAAATTGTAGTTCTACAAGCCCTAAGTTTCTTGGTAACTCAACTAGTTGTGTACCTTCAAATGACCATGTTTCCTTTCATCCTATAAGATAGGAGATAGCTATTAGCGAGACAAGCCGTCACTAAGTATGGGCTGATAGATGAAAGCAGCAGCCTTGCACAAACTGTAAAAATATGAGGGGAAAAATGGCATACGTTGGTATTAAATCTACAACTGATCTTTCCACAAAATTTTACAAATTTTTTAAAAAAATTTCATTTACTTTAAATTTATTTTTTGTGTGTTTGTGTGTTGGGGGTGGGAAAGGTGTTGAGGCCAACTTGATCAAGCGGCAACTGGCATACCGATGTGGCTTTTGGTATTTAATGGTGATTTCTAGTGTTCCACTTTCTCCACCATCTGTTTTATTGTTAGCACATGCCCAATCTGCATTGAATGTAGGAAAGTAACTTAGACTGTGCAATTCAATCTAAAATAGAAGCTTTGTTGGATTTTGTCTTGAAAAGAAATTTGTAGATTCAGTTAGTTTTCATGATATTTAACCTACGAATAGGGCCTTCTAATGAGGAATAAGGAAGGTCACAGTTACTGATAGAAAATGATAACAACCCCCCATTGCGTATTGGTACTTATCAGGTATAGAATAAATATGCTTCTCTTTGTTCCTACGAACAGAATTGTTTCATTATTACCAATAGAATAGAGCAAATAGTAACCCTTGTTAAGTGGATTATTTCTTAAGTTTGGCAGGAAAGCTGTATATTGGTTTTTTGCTGACTTCTGTATCTATATTTTTTCACTGATGAGGATAGAACTTTGACCTGGCTAGGGCTTTATCTAGTCCGTCTTTGCCATTTAGTCTGTGCATAGTAATATAGAGAAAAAGGGAGAATATTAAGTATGGAAGTGATGTGCTGCTGATTGGTGAGAGATTGTGAGAAAGAACTCACATTATAAAGATCTTCAGCAACTGCGTTTGTGTAGGAAATTGTGAGAGCACATTGAAGAAGGAAAAATAAGGTCAATGTGGTGTGCTATTACTGAGGTGGTAGATTTAGAGGAGGTTTGACACCCATTTTCTGGAGAATAGAATTTTTGGAATAGTGATTGATTGGAGAATGTGTGATGGAAAAGTTATGAAAAGTTTTAGATTTGTGTGTAATATTATTTTATTGGGGGAATGTGTGGTTGAAATGAAGAAAGAGAAAAAAAATGAGAATGAGATAAAAATGGGTGTCAAACAGGGGCTTAATGTGTACTTGCAGATAAATTGATTTTATATAGATTGTGCAGAATGCATTTACCCAAGTGAAAGGAGGAACTTATTGGCAGTTTGTGATTGCTTATAAGCAGGTCAACCTACCAGTCATCTCCAGTAGACATTCGCCTCTCCATCTTTTTCCCCATTACATAACCACCCATTTCCATGTTCCCTTGCCAGAACCGGCCTCTAATCCACCTTCCCAACCCAATTCCCATTTGAGTATTCTGCTTCGCCAATACCAGTGATGACATTTTCCCTCCATCACTGACAAGTTCCCTTCCTGTTATGTAGCCCCTTCCCATCTTGACGACCACAATTGACTACACAACCTTTGTAAAATGGAAGAACGAAATGAGAAGAAAGGGGGAAGTAAGGATAAAGGGAATACATGTATATTATTGTATGTTATAAGCACTGAAATCTAGATTATGTGGAGATAAATTATTTCGCAAAATGTCAAAATATTTTTAACTTGTATTGAAATCCCAAGTACCACCCTTGTAAAAACCGCATATTCAAGTAAGTATGTTTTTGTCATAATATCATTATTTAAAAATGACCGTCTTCATGTCGTTAGGCATATCTTGTCTCTCTGCTTACTTCTCTTGGCAGCAGGATAACTCTAGTCATGCATTATGTTAGAAATCTTTTCTGAAAGTTGCTTTTCCTGGTAATATCAATGTGGAGTTAAATGCACAGCCCGACATCACCCACGTTTTCAGGGCCAATAATAGGAACATGGTGAGATTAAAAAGTAAGGCACCATGGAAACATCCTACTGTATCACTCATAGTCTTTCCAACAATTTTTATGAGTCCAGAAATTATTGTCGTGTGATTTTTTGTATACTGAGGGCGCTATTTTGGGTTGGGTTGCACTAACCTTCTGTTCTCTTTGTATTTGCATGAAGTTGAGAATTTGGTCATGAACTAAAACTCTGTTACCTTCAGTTTTAGCCTCGCCACAAACTTGGCCTCTCAGAAAAGTACAAACGTAAAACTTAAAAGTCCTGTACCTTGAGATCTTGATTTTACTATTTGTTGATTAATAACTCAGTTTCTTGGTTATTGCTAATGTTTGTTTATTTATTTATTATTATTATTTTATTTTGAGGTTTTTCACTCATTTGTATGTGCAGGCTTCTGCATCGAGTCTGTACATGCCAGAACCTGAAGATGCTGTGGCTCATGGAGATGCAAGTCTCGCAGTTAATGACTTTTTGACTCGGAGTTTAGCGTAAGAAAATTAATTCAACAATGTCTACCGTACGAACATTGTGAAAATCTTTGCTCCCAATATAAACTAAAGGTCGGAAATGCCAGTTCCCAAGTGTCGTCTTGGACTGAGTTAATTGCTGGAATGTGGAGATTAAAAAGGAATGCAATTGTATGGGTTGATTACTTTTTTAACTTTTAAGAATCATCAAATATATAATATAATAGAGAGAGTTTGGAGTTCCTATAACCATGTCAGGATAGTGCTGCTGATAACTGTAACATTATCTATTTGTATTGAAGAAAGTATCATTCTTTTTTCTTTTTTGTGGAAAATGTTTTTTAAATAGTTTTGAGAGGATAACAATAGGAAGAAAATTATAAGCATAACGGTATATCAATATACCCTATCAGATTTTACAATCCGAATGAATTTAAAATCACAAATCTAATCAATTATTGACTATGTAATTGAAAAGGATTAATATTAGGAATTTGTTAAACTCAATTAAACCTAAATGGTTTTGATATGCCATAAAAATGCAATTGTTTTCTTGAAAATTAGGAAAAATTTAAAAATGTTTTCAATTTATATGTGCGCTTTTATGAGTTAGATAGTTTTGTCGGTTAATGATGATATGCATTGAAATTGTGTAGGATTCATCAACTGCAATTAGGTGCTGTAACTTTAGTTAATTTATACTTATCCATGTGAAATTGTATTATTTTGAACACATTAGGCATGAAGATCGACGTGTTTTTTTGGATTGGTTAGTTTGATAGAATGGATTGAATGAACTTAGGTTACTAAAACCAATAAAAATTGAAAACAAATCACTTTGCCTATTGAAAGGATAGTTTAGGGGCGGTCGATCCGATTTAAGGAACTATTTATACAGGTGTTGATTCCTTGCTTGTTGAAAATTTGTTTTTTATTTTTTTACAAATGGGTGGAACCTAAGTAGTAATCATACGCTAGGGGTTTGATCCCAACTACTTGTCCTAATAAAAGGTACTATACTAGTCTAGGAAGATGAGGTAAAAGTGTAAGAGAAAATGTCATGCATCGTTAATTATGACAAATCAAAAATCGGTATTGTGAGGTGCTATCTACCGTAGAGGGAACAGAAGAAACAGTAACAAGAAGTGGCACGACATTAATCCAGTGAGATGATTATGGTTGTGTGTGTTTTTTGGTATTTGTGATCAAATATTATAAGTGAGTGCATGAATCAGAAGACATATTGCTTCTTGAGTAAATCTTGGACAGTTAATTTGAAAATCTAGAATTTTTGTGAGATTGATTAATCTAGTTGAAGTTTGGAGGTTAAAAACACACAAATTTAGGGAGAATCATTACACATCGAGATAGTTGCTTTCATTAGTTAAATCCAATTGAACTTGTGCGAGAAATGGATGAGTATTATGAAATAAACTTTAAAACAAGCTTAACACGTGTTTGATTGAAGAACAAATTCGGGGTGTGTATCACATGAGATTGAAGTGAAATAATTGATCATTAAGGGTCCGGATGTAATTAATCTAAGGATTTATGGCGACCGAATTGACTATTCACACACATACATCAATTGATAAAAAGTTGTTTTCCCAGCATTACTTAGAAGTCTTTTATGAATTATTCAAACGTGTTTAATATTTGAGGCGAATACAACAAACTAACTTATCAACTTCTATTTTATTTGCTTGTGTGTTAAGTAGATAAACTTGTTCGGACGAACAATAATTTAAGTTTGAGAGTATTTGATAATTGTATTTTACACTTATGCTTGTGCTTTTACACTTGACAAATTATGAGTAATTGAGCGGATTAATTATTTAGTTGTAGAAAACCCTCAACTTTAATACAATTGACACAAAAAAAAAGACGATATTGAGCTTAATTGAAGTTGATTAGGAGCAATCGAAGATCAATTGGGTTGTATGAGATCGAAAAGAAGTACTAAAATAGCAATTGGAGGAAATTCACAAGTTTTGGGAGTAAAATCCGACATCTGAAAACTTTGGGGTCTCAATTATAAAACTTTGAGACTTACAATAGATCAATTGTAGATGATTGTGGAGGATGAAGATCAAATTGAGAAGATTGAAAGATGAATGCCAAAGATGCAAATAGAAAGGTACTCGAGCTGAACAAAACGAGGAAGTCAGGGGTGAATGCGTACAGAAGGCATAGTTTGCACCTTGCGATCACAAGGTAGGGAAAAATTCCACCGACAAGTTCAACCTTATAACCATGCGACTGCAATCAATTTCCTTGTACGATTGTTTCCTATTTTGATTCAACATCTACTTGGACAACAATTAAAGGAAAACAATAGGACTTCAAATCTCGCTATATTCTTCCGTTTTAATATCAATTCAAGATTTTGACAAGAGTTATTGACTTAGCGATCAATATTCCTATATTTTTTAATAATTTATCCTGAGTAATACTAAAAATATCCTTATATATGAACTTATTATATTCCTATAAAGGATGCAAACACGTGAATATGCATTATATAATAAGAAAATTCAATGAGATCATGCAAAACATAGCTATACATCCCTATCCCTTATTGAATTTTACAATGATTATTACTACGTGCTATAATTCATATTACTTCTCCCGAATGAAATAGAATCACAAAATCCAATCTATTATTGGCCAAGTAATTATCCTTAAATTATCTTCTTGAATCTCTTTCTTCTTCAAAATCCAAGCAAAGATATATGAATTGATGCAGGATTATGTATTTTGTATCAAAAGCTTCTCCCAAAGCTTTCCCTTTGAACGATAGATGAACAGTTGTATTAATAACCCCAAGGATTAGATCAAACCTCGTGTCCTAATTGTTGTCCAAGTAGAGGTTGAATCAAAATAGGAATCAACATCTTTCCTAGCCACGAGTACCATGCGATCGCACAGGCAATTTCATTGCAATCACATGGTTATAAGGTTGAATTTACTAGTGGAGTTTTGCCTTACCTTGTGAGCGTAAGGTGCAAACTATGCGTTCAGTGCACATTGATTCTTGATTACCTCCTTTGGTTTAGCTCAAGTTTTTTCTGTTTGACTCTTTGGTCCTTCATCTTTCAATTTTCACATTTTGATCGTTACCCTCCACAATCATCCGTAATTGATCTATTTGCAAGTTTTGAAAGTTTGCAATTGAATCCCCAAATTTTCTAAATGTCGAAGTAACTCCAAAAACTTGTGAATTTCCTCTTAATTCTATTTTAATACTTCTTTTTTATCCATGATTGTATTCAATTACTCCAAATTAACTCCAATTAAACTTAAAATTGTCTTTCTTCGTGTCCATTGTATTCAAGTTAGAATTTTTCTTACAATTAACATAGTTACACTAAATTATAGAGATACTCGCTCAATTACTCATAATTTGTCAAGAATAAAAGCATGAATAAGCGTGTAAAATACACTTGCTTATCAATACGTACATAGAAAAACTAGCTAAGTCGAACTCAGTAAATTCTAATTCTCGCATTAAACTCCTCTTTTTAAAATTGCCATTACTACTGGGTACGTGCCTATTTTTCTCTTCACTTTTTTGGTTTTGTCTTCAATTCTTTTACAAGATTTATCTATGAAAATGAGGATATGATGTACTCCAAATTGTGTAATTCGAACAGCATATTTTAACTCCATCTTTACATATTTTATAGCATGGCCTCTGCTAAATTTTAGGAAATTGGAAAGAAGGGGTAAATATGTCAAATATTTTCTTCTCCTTCGTATCTATCACTCATTTGTATCTATTTATAATTCAATCAAGCTTCTAATTTTATTCAATTAAATGTAATAGACGTACCTTTGAAAATGGTGGTAGATTGACTACAATTAAGGGTAAACGTACCATTAAGGATAAGTCGCGACATCTCTTTAATTCTATTTAGTCGAACATAGTAAACATACCATTTCAATCACTACGGTAGTTGTAGATTACAACTAAAAATAAAAACTAGTCAAATAAAGTAAAGAAATTCACAAAGTCGTCAAGATTTTCCTGTCAGTAATATTCATTCCCAGAGAGTTGCTTAAGTTTAGCAGAAGCCTTTTTTTCAACAGCAATGGCAGTCCAGCAAGTGGGGTTGTGTCAAAAATCTCAACCCCTTTAACAATACACTTATTAGGGTCCCCAAGTTCATTCTGTAAAACTGCTTCATATGGGTATTTCACCAGTGAAATGTAATGGAACCAAATCCAGTAAAGAGGGATTCTATCCCGGTTAATGTAGAAGCCACTTAATAGAACAAAATAAGAAAAGACTGCTACAAAAATTATGTATCGGAGCACGACATGAGGAACAAATCTTGAAAGAAATGTAACGAAGAACTTCCAGTATTAAAATGTGAGGGAGAACTCCTTGATAATCAGCAAGGAAGAATTTTGGAAAAGGGGTAGAAACGTCTATTGAAGGAAATGCACATGGGAGCTGATTTTCAGTTTTGCCTTGCTGTAATTTTGTTGCTGGAATGTTATTCTTTCTGCCAAATTTGTTATATTGTTGTTAGTTCTAGATCCTTCTTAGCTGGTGTATATATATTCTGATGTAATGGATAAATCAATATACAATTTTTCATCAATTCATTCAATACATTTTCAGTTGTTTATTTTAATCATTTGTGAGCACATTACAATTCTTCCCTCTTCATTTCTTATATCCAGTCCAGAACGACACAAAGATAATCATGAAGTAGAAGGCGAAACCTGATGGTCCGCCGACCGCCATCGAGCCCAACAACCCAAATTGTTGTTAAAGGGAAGACATACAAGTATTATTAAAGAAGAGATTGCACCAATTTTTTTTTTTTTTTTAATAACCGTGGATGTACAGGTCAGTTTGCGCGCACTTCAACTAATCCCATGATACCTAAAGTTTACGATCGGGTCAGTTTGCTTAATGGTTTTGGGCAGATGTCTAATACGGTCCATATAAAAAAACATGTTTTGATTCAACAAACAACATCAACTTGAGTGATGGATCGATAATACTGTACATAA